TCCCCATCTCTTGTTGCCCACTCTGGTAACAAATCCCCCTTTCCCTCCTTCAGTGAAGTGTGCAACACCAAAACCAGTGGGAATGCAATCCATGAACTCTTTTAGAGTCAGCACTGGGTGAATTTAACTGTCCTCATGCCAATGTCCAAAAAGTCCCTCCACTGTTTGCCATTCCACATGACCCTGTATGCCAAAATTCCCCTTCATGGCCAACACCACCACAGCCTGTTTTGTCCTGTCTCAATTCTTCCAGATCCTAGTCCTGCTATCAAAATTAAGGAACAAAGAGAAGGATCAATTCCACCTGTGCTGTTGGAGGGATGCGCCCTCTCAGCATGGTTCTGGATTTCCCAACAAAGGGGAGAGGAGTTCTGCCATTCATCAGAGGAAGGAGTCCAAAGCAGTTCTAGGTCACAGGAAAAAGAGACAAAGCAGCAGAGCTCAGACTAGTCCTGAAGCTGGGCAGGCTCCTGAAGAGCTGGCCTTCCTGCTCCCAGTGCCGCTGGAGGGATCGGGGCAGGCGTGGTCCCAACCCTACATACTCTGATCCCTTGTCGCTGAGTGCCATTTGCTGTTTTGAGACTTCCAGAACTCTTCTGAGCTCAGGATCACAGACAGTCAAGTCTTTGTTGCCACCATGATCCAGCCACACAGGACCAGAGAGTCTGAGACAATTCAATCTGCTGAATCTGGCTTTTTGTAATGTAGAGTGGCTGGAATGTATTCATTCCCTGTTCATCCTCCCCCTCAGCCACTCTCCTGCCCGCCCAGGGCTGTGCACACCCTAGAGGTGTGCAGAGGATGATACAGAGCTACTGCACAGCAATACTCTTGTGGTGGTAGAGTCCTGGGTGGTCCATTCTACAAATTTTATGAGCTTTTCCCATGGTCTGAATGACACAGAGGAACTGTGCATAAATGGAGTGCGGGATCAAATGCAAAGGAACAGTCAGTGGAGCTTGCAACCAAAAACTGCATGTTAATAAATGGTTGCAGAAATACTTACACTGCAAGCAAGTGTCCACATATGATTATTTGTGTAATATCCAGCATAACAGGGCATGATTTTGCCTTTGAACCCTTGAAAATGAGAGGATGAGTGCTGTTCATGGGACTGTTAAACTGAGGTCTCTTACCATTTTAAACCTGAGCAGGTTTGCATTGTCAAATCCACCATGGGCACACTATGGGCAATACATTTTATTCTTCTCTTTTCCTGGTGTAATAGTAGTTTTCATTTTATGTTAGCACCTCTAGTGCCATTTCCTTTCTGCTCATTGTGGATTAGTCTGTTTCTCACACCTTTGAAAGAAATTCGTACTTGCATGTTGAATTCACCTTTTTGTATCTCATCAACATATTTCCCTTTCCACCTTATGCTACGTTTGATCTTTGCCCTGTTTTCATGTTGCTTCTCAGAACAGTGCATTTCATTGCATATTTGTGAAAAATAAGAATAAAATAAAAAATTTAAACGTCCCTGAGAGGGCAAACCTGTTGAAAAGATCAGCTCCATATGTGACTTGAAGCTCATCTCATTCCCACTTCCCTGCTGTGGGCAGGGACACCTTCCACTAGGCCAGCTTGCTGAGAGCTGTCCTCTCCTTTTCACCAGTGCAGGAGTGTCAGTGGTTCCCAGCTACAAACAAATGATGACTTTTTGTTTAATAAATCACAGAATCACAGAATATGCTGAATTGGAAAGGACCCACAAGGATCATGGGGTTCAACTCCTGGCCCTGCACAGAACACTCCAAGAGTCACGCCATGTGCCTGAGAGTGTGGTCCAAATGCTTCTTGAGCTCTGTCAAGCTTGGTGCTGTGACCACTGCCCTGGGGAGCCTGTTCAGAGCCCAACCACCCTCTGGGTGAAGCAGCTTTTCCCAATATCCAAACTAAACCTCCCCTGATTCATCCTCGTGCTGTTCCCTCGGCTCCTGTCACTGGTCACCAGAGAGAAGAGATCCATGCCTGCCCCTCCACTTCCCCTTTTGAATTATCATCCAGTCCTGTGCAAGATGGTCTTGGGTTTGGAGCCCATTTTCTGCTTTGGAATAACAGGTCAGCTCAGGTTTTGTTGGTAAGTCCCTGTGTGCTGTGGTGATCTGTCCTCACTTGGACTGGGTTAACCAACAACCCACTGTTATATGTAAAAATTTTAGCAAAAGAGCAAAATCTATTGATCCAAAATGGATTCTTTAGGGGGGCAACTACCTTCAATTCCTGCTGGGAGAGTTTAGGGAGGTTGGTGTCCCTACACTGAATTTAGACTTTGTAAATAAATAACCCCTCAGGCAGTGACATGCAAGGCAGTGCAGACATCCAGAAGAAAACAATTTAAAAATTACTATGCTTGAAGTTGCAAATACCAGCTTAAACAAGATTTGGTTGTTGAAAACATACAACTTCATGAGCAGACTCTGAGAATTCCACTTAAAATGCTGGCTCTGGTTTTCATAAATGGAGGTGAAAGCTGGAGGCTCAGCTAGAGGTCTCAGCTCAAAGATGAGCTTCCAAAAGTAAGAAATAGATGAACATTTAATAGATGAACATTTAAATGGAAGGAAGTTGTAGGAATTGCTGGAGAGGATCATGAAGTCATCTCCTCTAAGGAGTTTGAAAAAGGTGGCATGTATTAATGGAAAAGCCTGAGTATGCATCATGGCAGACTTGTTTCACAGAAAGGAGAGGAGACTGTCCCAAAAGGGACTGTCCACATGAACTCTTTGCAGGACTCCACTCAGCTTGAAAATCTCGGGGTCTTCACAAAGAGAAGATCTGGGCAGAGCAGCCAGAGATAAACAAGAATAACAAAGTCATGTCCTCTCCTGAGTCATGTAGGACTATTTTTGATAGACATAAATCCTGTGCAGATTCATAGCCCGCCCCAGATATCAGGAGATATTAATGATTTTGATATATGGTACCCAACCCAACCCAATATTCTTGGTCCAAGCAACTACAAACATTGAGACATTTTATCTCTGCAAAACAAACCACTATATAGTGGCAAAGTGATAATTCAGAACAATTCCCTTGTTCCTACTGACTCAGAATATTCCTTTATTTTTTTCCTGCAGAAAGGAAAAATGAAGTTGTAGGATGCTCTCACTTGGTAGCATCAAGTAATTCTTCAATTCATACCCTGTTTTATGTCAACAATGGGAACTTGTTTTATATATATGTATATGTATTTTCATGGTGAGTTCATTTTTTGTTTGAAGTTTCACATAACCTTTCAGAAATGAGTAGGTAGCACCTTTATCCTCCCACCTGTCTCATTTGAAGAATGCTTTCTTAAACTGAAAATAAATTTCACAAAACAGTTTTAAAATATGACACACACACCCCCCCCCCCCAAACCTGGGTCTGTCAAGGTGTATAAGCTTTGACTGTACTTTGGTTGTCAACAGATCATCTGGATTGATCCGATGTGCAGGAAGATAGCGATGAGTACAACTTGCTATTGTTAAACAACACATGAATAATACCCTGGATTTGGAATCAGTCAACTCTTCTGGTTTTAATAGTTTATTTTCTTGTCTTCCATTTCGTAACTGAACTGTTGATGTAATCTTACCCCATGTGAATGCTCAGTTGAGGGTTTCACAATGAACAAAATGCCATCTAAACCAGCATGAAATAGCCACGGTGTAATCTAAGGTGCCCACAAGAGCTGCCAGGGGACTGGGCTCCTGATGTAGCCAGTGCAGTCACCAGGGAGTCATGAAATTCTCAGCAGAATGTTTTAATCTTGCCTGTGGTTTCTCTTTGCTTGCCTGGAGAAATGCAGTGTCTCATTGCAGGAGTGAGAGGATGGACTGTGCAACAAGTGGGAAAGCAGGAGAAGGGAATTTTATCAGAAAGAATTTTATCAGAGTTGTAAGCTCTACCTGAGCACTGATAATTCTTCAGAATTTCTCACCTAATGGCTGCACCTTGAGAATCTATTTCTCACCTAAATTTTTGCACTCAGGACAAGAGCAAAAACCACGGGCAACACCTGTACCATGGAACTAAACAAACAGTGTCACTTTGTCTTCAAAAGCAATGACCTTCCTGCCTCCTGGGAACGGTCCTGGGCTCATTTTAGCTGATCTATGCCTGGGAATGATTTAGGACAGTGTTAGCTGGCCCAGCCCAAAAGAGTGCCAGCAAGTGCTCTGTGAATATAACAGGTGAACAGTCAGATTTCAGCATCTTTGTGGTGACCTGGGATTGTTTAATTTACCAAGACCATGCATTTTTGTGCACTCTACTGGATTAATTGTCAGAATACAGCAAACTACTCTCTGTCACAGGTTTGACTGTGTCTTTTGCTACTCTAGGAGACGTTTCTTTCCCAAATTGGGATCCCTTTCTTGAACAGTCTACACTAAATTGATCGAGCTATTTCAAACTTTCAATACTAGGCATGTTTTTGAGACATATCTGTCCTTTTTTAGCCTTTCCTTAAAGAAGAACTTAATTTTATAATTAATATTGTATATATCCTACATTCCTAGACTAAACTGATGCTTGTTTATACATCCAGAGCTTGAGAGCATTGGAACATTCAGCTCAATATCTACTGCTGAGGAACATTCAGTGAAGGACACCTGCATTGAACAACTAATGAGCAGGTACTTGATTTCATGAGTTAGGTGGTATATTCATTCAAAAACTGTGTGAGGCCTTGAATGAGGCCACAGAGGTCTGGAACAAGTGTTGTGGAGTTTCTGTGCTTGGAGATATGCAAAACCCTCCTGAAACCCAAGACTTCTGAAGTCTCCCAAATTCCTAAGTTTTTCACGATTTAGGCTGTTGCTGCTATACTTGAGCACCTAAATTCCACCTAAATTGCACGTGTGATGCCTGTGTGCTCTTGTGAATTTTACACTTCCCTATCACAGAATCATAGAACATTTTGGGTTGGAAGGGACCTTAAAGCTCATCTTGTTGCCAGCACCTTCCACTAGACCAGGTTGCTCCATCCAACCTGGCCTTGAGCACTGCCAGGGATGGGGCATTCATCTGTGTCTGAACAGAGTAAAATAGGCCAAGCAGAGAATGATGCTAATGCAGCTGAGCATATTCAGGTAATGGAATTAAATAATTTAGACTAGATCAGCCCTTCACTGTGCTGGCTGGGTGCTGCCCTGGTTCAAAGTGAAGTTAAAGTTAGTGGCATTGCAACTACAGAGCTGTAAATCTCTGTGCCCCAAAATCAACACCTGTGTATGGAAACAGAGGGATGAGCCTGTGACACATATTCAGAGCCTGGAGCCAAACTTGGCATTGTTTAAACAGACAGAAAGAGCATTATTAGAATCACAGAACCATAGAAAGGGTTGGAAGGGACCTTAGAGACCATCTCATTCTAACACCCCTGCCATGGGCAGGGGCACCTTCCACTAGACCAGGCTGCTCATTATGATGATTTGATTATTTTGATCACGATGATTTTAGGCTCAGATATTATAATGTGAAGGCAAACATGGAGATGAGGCCCTGCTGTGGCTGTTTGCCAGGTCAAACCACCAGAGTGTCACAGCAGTGACCTTAGAGGTTGGTTCTCTGGTGCTTTGCAGTCATTCACAGACCGAGCATCCTCCAGTTCTGCCCTGGAGCAGCTCTGACAGCCCTGCCCTCAGCAGTGTGACTGATTCTGCTGAGCTCCTGCAGCAAACAGCTTTCCTCTAACACCTCAACACAGAGATCCCTCACCCCAACCTCGTGTCTCCCATATTCAGCCATAAACCTGGAAAACAAAACTCCCAACCTTCCTTCCCTTGCCTAATCCCTCAGCACGCATATATTTCCCAGAGCTGCTAATCATCGAAGAACAACTGTTTTAACTCATCTGAGAGCATTTGCATTGGGAAGTTTCTTGACAAAAGAAGGAGTAGAGGGGTGGGAGAGGAGAGGGTGGGTGGAGAGATGCTCTGCCAGCCAGGCAGGCGGGATCGCTCTGGCAGTGGCTCTGCCTGGCTGTCACTGTGCCTCCCCAGGGACAGAGCCTTCCTCTCGCTCCAGGCTTCTCCCTGCCACAGCAGAGGGAGGGAGAAGGAGAGAGCAGAAGGATCCCTGCACTGACAGCATCCAACATTTGTCTCACACCTGCAGCAGGCAAACCATGAGGACGAGCCTCTTTGCTCCTACAGCCACTTCACCTTTGATTTGAAACCTTCAGCAGGGACGATGGAGGAGCAGTACATTTCCAAACTCCACCCAGTAGTGGATTACGGAGCTGGGGTCTTTCTTCTCATCATAGGTGAGTTCACAGCCTTCTCAGTTTTTTGGAGCCTGGGAACAGGCACACAGGGCCTCCCTGGCTGTGCCATGGTCAGACAGGGCAAGCTGGAGGCAAATGACAGAGGATCTATTTCCCCACAGGTTCCTCTGCTTAGTGCCCTCCTGCACTCCAGGATTAATCTCCACTCTCAATGTTTTGTTTTGATGCTGAAGAATTGCCAGCATGAATTTGCCTCTGTGGCATCACAAGTATTCAAAACAAGTTGTTTTATCTCTTACTCTGGCATCTCAGCCGTGAGCTGAGTCGAGGCAGCTCATTTCATGGCACTGATCAGAGGAAAGCAGCTGTGGTCTGACCCTTTGGTGGAGGGAGGTGTCATTCTGCTGTGTCTTGGTAGGATGAACTGCTACAGAACAGCAAAATGTTTCCAAATAGCAGTTCTGGGATTTCAAGCAGCCTGTTTGCCCTGCTGCAGGCAGAGTTAAAGTGAAATACAAGTGGGGGTATCTACCAACCTGCCCTAGTGTGGCTTCAGTTAAGTGTTGTCTTCTTTACTAGCTTGTTGAAGGTACACAAGGATCTGTTTCCTGCTGTTGTGGGTTTGGGGAGGAGTGGAATTGATTTAGGCATGCTTTCCACCTGAATTTTGCCAAGATGAAAAATTCCTCCTTTCAGCTCACTTGAAAACCCTGGTTTGAGATAGGCCAGACAAGCCTAGGTGTGCTTTAATACCGAGAGTTTGGGCAGCAGTGCTGGGTTTCAGCATTTCACATCTCCCCCTGCTCTGCACGATTCTCCCTGCACTCAGCTGTGCTGTGCTGTCCCCTCAGCTGTGCTGGCAGAATACAACTCAGGGTGAGGAAAATCCCTGCCTGCAAAACAACCAAGGGTTTTTTCTTTTAATCCAAGTCAGGATGCCAGCTCCCTCTCTCTGAAATGTAGATATATGGATGCAGTTAAGGCAATGGGAAGGGGCAGCTACAAAGTGCTGGAGCTCCCGTTGCTGATGGGCCACCATGCTACAGTCTCACACCTCTCCTAAAGGGTTTTTAGGCACTAGAACTTCAGGCACAGCTCCCAGCATTGGATCAAGAGCCCTGTGTGGCAGCCAGGCTCACTGTATCCGATAGGGGCTCTCAGAAATAAAGGATTAACTGGAAACCGTGTTTATTTATCCATAGCTTTGCCACCTCACTGGGGCTGCCAATTTATCCCCTGGAATTATGTTTTTATTTGGAAACAAAAAGGCCAGGGCATAGGCTGCAGCACTCACCACCAGTTATTGGATTACTAGCCACTCTTGTCCAGATTTGTCCCATGCCAGGCAGCATGGGTTGAGACTAAGGGCAACTTCTGACCTCATATTTAGTGGTTAGGGTTCTTTCAAAAGCAAGTAAATGGGGTTAATTTTCCATATGAAAGCCAGAGGATGCTCAGTTTTGGGCTCTTCACTACAGGAAAGACTTTGAGGTGCTGAAGCAAGCCCAGAGAAGGGCAGTGGATCTGGGGAAGGGTCTGGAGCACAAGTTTGATGAGGAGCAGCTGAGGGAGCTGAGGGGGATCAGCCTGGAGAAAAGGAGGCTCGGGGGGACCTTATGGCTGTCTACAACTCCCTGACAGGAGAGTGTAAATTGGTAAGATAAGATAAGATAAGAAGAAACAGACTAAAGTTGTGCCAGGGGAGGTTTAGTTTGGATATTAGAAAAAATTTACTCACAAAAAGGGTTGTCAAGCATTGGAAAAGTCTGTCCAGGGAAGTGATGGAGTCACCATCCCTGAAGAGATTTAAAAGACATGTAGATGTGGCACTTGGGGACGTGGGTTAGTGGTGGGCTTGACAGTGCTGGGTTAATGGTTGGACTTGATCTTGGAGGTCTTTTCCAAGCCAGTGTCCCTATGTCCTAACCCGTGGCTGTCATTTTTGAGGAGAGTGCTCTTCCCACCAAGCTGCAGGTTGCTCTCTGTCAGCAGGTGCTGAGCCACTGTGGGCATCCTCCTGTGTGTGCAGAAATACAGCTCCAGAGGGCTCAGGGAACTCTTCCAGTGTATCCAGTGGTGCCAAGTGAATATGTGTTGTCAGAAAGGGAATGAATGAGGGACGTGGGGTCTCAGATTTGTGTCTCCCTTTTGTTTAAGCCTTTACCTCCACATATCCGCGATTTTTGTGCTAATGCCAATATATTTATTCCATTTTGTTTCACGTGCCTCTCTTAATTCCTCAGTGGGCACTTTGTTAAGTGGTGTCTGTGAGCAAATGCAGCCTTCCTGCCTCCACGCCCACAGGGGAACATGACAGAAGCTTTTTCTGTCTCCCTCTTTCACATCTGAGTTTAGAGGACAACTCCTCAGGAAAACCTTTGAACAAAATATCTCTCCAGCACCACGTTCACTTGAAAAAAAAAAAAAAAAAAGAGAAAACGAGTTGTTTGGTACATGTACTTCTGACACTGCTGTCACCAACACTTGGAAGCCCTGTGGCACTCCTGAATAACGCATGAGTGACAGGTCCTTTTGCAAGGTGAGCTCTGGGTCTGTTGCACGCCCCTGGCTAAACAAGAAAGACGTAGAGCTGCTGGAGAGAGTCCAGAGGAGGCCATGACGATGCTCTGAGGGCTGGAGCCCCTCTGCTGTGGAGACAGGCTAGGAGAGCTGGGGCTGTTCAGCCTGGAGAACAGAAGGCTCTGAGACCTCATGGCAGCCTTCCAGTATTTAAAGGGGGCTTATAAAAAAGAGGGAGAGTGACTTTTTACATGGGCAGACAGTGATAGGACAAGGGGAATGTTCCAGCACCTTGCCATGGGCAGGGACACCTTCCTACAACTCCCTGACAGGAGAGTGTAAATTGGTAAGATAAGATAAGATAAGAAGAAACAGACTAAAGTTGTGCCAGGGGAGTTTTAGTTTGGATATTAGAAAAAATTTACTCACAAAAAGGATTGCTCCAATTTACTCACAAATCAGGTTGCTCCAAGCCCTGTCCAACCTGGCCTTGAACACTTCCAGGGATGGGGCAGCCACAGCTTCTCTGGGCCACCTGTGCCAGGGCCTCACCACCCTCACAGTCAAGAATCCCTTCCTAATATCCAATCTAAACCTGCTCTCTTTCAGTTTAAAACCATTCCCCCCTGTCCTATCAATACATATCCTTGTAAAAGTCCCTCCTGCAGTCCCTTTCAGATACTTCATATCCTTTCCAGGGATTTCACAGGTGTGTTAACTCTGTGATGTTCTTTTCTGTGCTGATCCTTCTCTTCCAGCCATCCTGACAATCCTTGGGAATTCAGCTGTCCTTGCCACAGCTGTGAAACGCTCTTCCTTCCTGAAGTCACCGGAGCTGCTCACAGTGAACCTGGCAGTGGCAGACATTGGGATGGCCATCAGCATGTACCCGCTGGCCATCGCCTCTGCCTGGAACCACGCCTGGCTGGGAGGAGATGCCTCCTGCATTTACTACGCCCTTATGGGTTTCCTGTTTGGAGTCTGCAGCATGATGACCCTGTGTGCCATGGCTGTGATCCGGTTCCTCGTCACCAACTCGTCCAAATCCAACAGTGAGTCATCACCTGCCCGGTAAACTCCTCATGGTGTGTTTGGGCAGGATTATTGTGGAATATGGCATGGAGTATCAGGGCAGTAATAGTAGAATAAGCCTCAGCTTTTAGTCCAATATCAAATCCTGATGTTCCCAGAAGGATCTGATTAAATTCTTCACTAAACAGTGAGGTTTTTCACTTCTTAGTTTTACCAAGTGAAACTACCTGAGAGCAGAGAGCCCAAATGTTTTGCTGGACCAGACTGTCTTCTCCTTCTATTTGTATCCAAGCAGAAATATTGGATTTTGAGAAAGGAATATTCTTGTGGCATTCCTGGGCTGGGACCACAGCAAATTTGTGGTCAACTTGACCCTGTAAAGTTCCCTGACTTACTAAGCTTTAGATGAGCACTGAGAGCTGTGTTCAGGTCTCACCCAATCTATGGACACTTTCTCAAGAAGACCAAAGGTTTGAGAACTGCAGCAGCAGCCCAGGCGTATCCATAGCTACCATCCTTCTGTTTGAGGAGAAGTTATGGCAAAAACCATGTGGCTGGGGTGAGATCCATATATACTTGCTCTTCCTCTTTCTTGCAGGTAACAAAATCACCAAGAACACTGTCTTCATCTTGATTGCTTTCATCTGGCTCTACTCCTTGCTCTGGGCCATCCTGCCCTTGGTAGGCTGGGGCTACTACGGCCCTGAGCCCTTTGGCATCTCTTGTACAATAGCCTGGAGCAAGTTCCACAACTCCTCCAATGGCTTTTCGTTCATCCTGACCATGTTCCTCCTGTGCACAGTCCTGCCTGCGCTGACCATCGTTGCCTGTTACTTGGGAATTGCCTGGAAGGTGCATAAGGCCTACCAAGAAATCCAGAATATTGACAGGATCCCTAATGCAGCCAAACTGGAGAAGAAGCTGACACTGGTGAGTTATCCCAGTGATGGGAAGAGTCTGCAGCAATCAGGAGCTTGCAGAGAGCTGGCTCTGCTATGCACTATTCATAGAATCATGGAATTTGGGTTGGGAAATAGTTTGGGTTGGAAAGGACCTTTAAAGGTCATCTATTCCAAACCCCATGAGGACCTTCCCCATCACAAGGACCCTTCATTGCTTTTGGAGATGTGGTTCCAGTCTCATCCATACTCAGAGGAGCGCAGAGCTCCTGAAAACCTTGGCATTTCAGCAGCTTGGTGAGGATGACCTGTCACAGGTACAGAACAGCTTGTTAAATCTTTAGGCAGTTGCACCGAAGATTTTCATGGACATATAGATTTTCAGTCATGCTGGAATAGCTGTTGAATCCTTTTCTGTTGGAATGGAGGTCTTGTTCTGTCATCCCAGATATTTTTACTTGACAGAGTGGCTATGCTGAGCAAGAGCTGCACAGAAATTCTGTATGGAAACAGGATTTTTTAATATAACATTTTTTCAAATATGCACTTCGGTTGTACATTTCTTGTGGAAAAGCAGAATTGATCCAAGATTTCTAGAGGCCAGTCATAGAATCCCTGAATCATTAAGGTTGGAAAAAACCTCTAAGGTCAGGCCCAACCATTAACCCAGCACTGCCAAGTTCACTACTAAACCATGACCCTAAGCACCACTTCTATGTGTTTTTTGAATGCTTCCAAGGATGGTGACTCCACCACTGCCCTAGGCAGCCTGTTCTAATGCTTCACAACCCTTTCAGCGAAGACTTCTTTCACAATATCCAATCTAAACCTCCCCAGCACAACTTGAGGGCATTTCCTCTTGTCTTATCATTTCTTACCTAAGAGAAGAGAGTGACGCTTACCTGTCTTTCAGGCAGTTGTAGGGAGGGACAAGGTCCCTTTTCTCCCAAGCCTCCTTTTCTCCAGGCTGTGACCCCCCAGTTGCTCCTCTTCCGACTTGTCCTCCAGACCCTTCCCCAGCTCTGTTGCCCTTCTCTGGACTCGCTCCAGCACCTCAATGTCTTTCTTGTAGTGAGGGGCCAAAAAGTAACCCCAGGATTTCAGGTGAGGTTTCACCAGTGCCCAGCATAGGTGGAAAGTCTATTGGTGCAGCTGTGTTTGGGCTGCGTCTGCCAGGACAGGTCAGGGAAGGAGATGAAAACAACAGCTGCCTCATAAGAAATGCACTGTGTAGATCTGCTGGGTGGGAATAGAAGTCTCCTGTGCCCAGTGTTACCTGTGCTCATGGCACAGCACAGCAAGCACAGCTCCAGGCATTTCAGGTTCAGGTGTGCTGGACTGTGAGGCCCCGTTGGTACAGGCTGTGAACTGAAGGCCTGTCTTCCCTTCCAGATGGCCGTGCTCATCTCTGTGGGGTTCCTGAGCTCCTGGACCCCGTATGCAGCTGCCAGCTTCTGGTCTATCTTCAACTCCAGCGCCTCCCTGCAGCCCGTCGTGACGCTGCTGCCCTGCCTGTTCGCCAAGTCCTCCACAGCCTACAACCCTTTCATTTACTACATCTTCAGCAAAACCTTCCGCTGTGAGATTAAAAAGCTGCAGTGTTGCTGTGGCTGGCGAGTCCGTTACTTCAGCTCCGACAACTCCGTGGAGAATCCCGTGTCCACGATGTGGAGTGGGAGGGACAATGTCCGCCTCTCCTCGGCGGCCAAGCTGGACAACCTGGGAGCTGCAGCTCGCTGAAAAGCAGCCACGGGGTCACACAGCACAGGTCAAACCTGAGCTCAGTCCCGGGCCTAAATAAGTAGGGATGCAGCACGTGGGGTTGTCACTGCACATCTTATGCCAAATACAGAGGTTTTAATTATATATTTTTAAGCAACTCTCAAATATTGGCTTTAGACTGCACATAAAGAAAAAAAATTTTTTTCCAGAACTTCCACTTTAGAGGAAAAATAGATTTATGTACTAAACATAAAATCATGTAAACTAAACTTATTTTCAGGGAAGCAGCTATAATTAAAAGGGAATTAATTATTTTTGTGGAGTGTTTTTTCTTATACTTCTGATTTTTTAATGCAATTTATCTGCCAGCTCTTGGCTCCAGCACTAAAACAGCCATCAGAGGAAACCGTAGGTTGCACACGAAGTGTTTCCAAATAAACACAGCTGAGAGTGTAACTTTCAAGCCATACAGACTGAAAATCATATGGGGAGCAAGAAATATTCCCTGCCAGGGAAAGATGGTAACGTGGCTGCTCTCAAAGTGTCTTGTGGTTCCTTGCTCCCTCAGAGGTGTAGTTCCAACTCCTCCAAACACAAGTTCAAGGAGTCGAGCAGCCTTAGTTGGAAGAGGTTAGGTGGGAATGTGGCAGCCAGTGAAGAATGCCTTCTGTGTGTCCCAAATGGCACAGTGGGGAGTGAAGGAAGCTCCCAGCAGAAGGGAGTGCACTCAGGCAGTTTCTGGACGAGGCACAACAGCTCTTCTGCCATGAAAGCTGTCGGAGCATTTGTTCTAAATCATGATGGTTAGGGTTGGAAAAGACCTTTAAAATCACCAGCCCAGCATCCCCACCATTAATGTCCTCAAGTGCCATACCCACGTTTGCAGAACATTTCCAGGGATGGTGACTCCATCCCTTCCCTGGGCAGTCTGTTCCAATGCTTTGCAACTCTTTTCCTGGAGGAGTGCTCTGTATAGGATGACACAAGGCATCCTCAAGATAACCTGCCCAGCAGTAAGTTGTCCTGCAGTGCAGTCTTGGCTCTCATGGCTTCCATGGGAGCTCCTGAGATCCCGAATTCCCTACTGGCTGGGGCACTGATATGATTGCAACTGAGGAAAGAGTTTGCTGATTTAGTTTAAATGATAAGTACAATCACACCAGGTTTAACCAAAGAGATTGTGGGGTAGAAATGATGAGCTCCTACAGCTTAAATCTTTCTCCAACTTATGGTTTGTGATTTTAAAGGACACAAACATCTACCCTTAGGGTTTGAAATCTCAGAGAAAATATTGGGTTGGTGGCTGCAGCAGCTCTTGTCAGCTCCCCTGACCACACAGAATCAGAGAATGGTTGGGGTTGGAAGGGACCTTAAGGACCATCTCATTGCAATCCCCCTGCCATGGGCAGGAACACCTTCCTGATCTAGTGGAACCTTAACCAAACCTTTGCATCTGGTGAAGGCAAGAAGAGTTAAGTCACAGGCAGATTTGGCCCGGATTTTAAACAACCTGAACAATAGTGAATGAACTCTGAGTTCTTGAAAACCTTTGCCACACTCAAACCCTGATAATTAGCTCCATTTTGTAAACTAAAGGTTTAAAAGCTAAGGCCAAGTGTGGGATTACAAACAGGCTTAAAGACTTCTGTGGCTCTGAGAATTCCTGTTACATGTCTGGATTATAAAAGAACAAAGAAAATTAGGCAGGAGCTGTGACATTCACTAAGGCACTAAGTAATTCCTAAGTTGGGGGTTAGAAAACGATAAGGAAATCCCCTGAAATCCTGCACTTGAAATGCTGTGAGCTCTCATAAATATTCCACTAAAGTAGCTTTATTTCTAAGACCTTGTGGAAAATCCCTAAATTAAGTTGGCCTCCAGGACATTATTTTGTCCTGGGTTGTTGCTCACAGGTGCTCCATATGGAACAAGGCTGCACTCAGCCTTCTCTCCAAATACAGTGAGGTGAAGCATCGTCTGGAAAACAGTCACCTCCAACAGCCCATGGCATGTGAAAATGGGAAGAGGGGAGAGGAATGTGAGGAGCAGGAGAAAACACCAGCAACTGAGAGAAGAGTATGTAAAAACTGAAGGCAAATCTGTGGGAAGAAGAGGCAGGAGAGCATTATGCAAGTGTGGAAAGGGACTTCTCATGGCAAATGTCAACTGTCAGTATTTTTTCAGCTTTTTAAAGTAACCCGATAGGTAAATGAAACTGTACTTCAACAACCACCTCCTCAGAGTTTTTTCTCAATTGTTTGATGTTTAAAATAAAGAGTAAAATAAATATTCCCATCAGTTGATTGCCTGAAACAAGGACATCCAAGTCAATAATCTGGCGTAAGAGGAGCTTCTGCTGGGAGAAACAGGTCCACATCCCTTTGTAAATGCTTTTAAAGTGTACGTAACATGAAAAATATGCCACTCTATAGGAGAAAAAAACTCTGTAAACCCCAAAGATCTGTATCCTGTTCATGTTTAAATACAACACTTCAATAGCCAAATTTATTATTAACTCTTTATGTACTTAATTTCTAAAAATCCAATCCAGGTGTTTGTGTATCAAATATGGCTCAAATTTATTTTTCGTTTTTCAGACTCAGTAAGAAGAAAATCCAAACTTCCCCAGCAGAAACTCTGAGTTTTAGGTGGTTTTATCTTACATATAGGAAATTTAAAAGGCAGGGCTGCCCTTGACCAAAGAACCAGGAAAGCCAGTATAGCATTAATATCAGGGGACTAGTTTTGGTGTTTGTTTTCTTTTTTAGTTTTGGGAAGTTAATTTATGGTCAAATTATAATTGTATATACATATATATTCCATATATATATAAAATATAAACTAATTCCATGGTATTTTCTATCCAGCCCTGGACTGTGCTGTCAACTACATGATCTTTTCAGACATGGAAGCGGGATGCAAGCACTTCCCTCAGGAGTGAGTCTGGGGACCAATGGTCAGTGCAGTCACCCCAATGCAAACAGATATTTAAGGTAAAAACCCCAACAGATCTGGCCCAGTCACATTTTAGGAGTTCTCTCACCAAACTGAGGGAGTTTACAATGCAGACACCCAGACCTGAGTGAGCCACCTTTGGCTTCTTTCTTTCCATTGAGGATACTCCTCCTCACTATCAGAGGATGACATATAAAGTTAAATAAGACAATTAACATAATTAAAATAAATTGGAATTCAATGCCTTCTTTGATGATGAACAGCTTCACAGAATCATAGAATGGTTTGGGTTGGAAGGGACCTTAAAGCTCATCTCGTTCCAACCCCCTGCCATGGGCAGGGACACCTTCCACTATCCCAGGTTGCTCCAAGCCCCATCCAGCCTGGCCTTGAACACTTCCAGGGATGGGGCAGCCACAGTTTCACTCTCTTTAGAAACCTACAGGTAGATAAACCATGATTTTTGAATTTCATGGTTTAATAAGACACAAGTCCTGCATGTGGCAGTAGCCCATGCAGGGGCAGCTGTGCTCCTGTGCTCTCTCTACAGCACTGCCCTTCCCTGATACGTCACCACTTCCCAAATGAAAGTGCTGCTGGACTGAGCCACATCTCTGCTGACCTTCAGTGATTTTGCCTGAAGAGTTCTAGGTCCACAGTGACTGCCAAAAAAAGGCAAACCAAGTTCTCTGCATGCAAAAGAGACCAACCAAAGAGCTGCAATGATTAGTTTATTTATGGGTATATCTGGAAAAAAAACCCAAACGCACTTACGTGAATTCCCTTCATTTCCTGAAGTCGCAGTTCTAGAGATAAAATTTTCTGGTGGGTACATATATAAATAATCCTCTAATAGAACAAAGCAGAGAGTTTACAACTTTCTTAGAAAGCACAAAACACCAGGTTAGGGGCAGTAGAAGCAGCTTGTGGCTGGTCATCCCTTGTGATGATCCCAATTGGTGTAAGGCCGCTGTGATGTGACATTCCAGAGTTACATGGATTGCTGCCTCTTCTCCAGGCACTTCTCAATATCATCCAACACTTGCACAGCTGCCTTTGGAATACGAGTCCCTGGACCAAACACATTGGCAACGCCCGCATCATACAGGAACTCGTAATCCTGTCCAAAAATAGATTTAAGATCTATAGTTAATGGTTCAACAGAAAATTGCTCATTAATTTATAGCTGGTCCTGTATCCTGCGCCTGAGAAAGCAACAAATCCCAGAGAAAGCACAGCTTCAAGGAGATGGGAAAAATAGGGTGGTTAGGAATATAAAAAAATACCCATAGGAAAGATTTTATTTCTTTAGAATCAGACTCATGTCAATCCTTGGCAAATTTTCAAAAGCCAACTCATCATGACTCTAAATGACCTAATCTAAGTTTGATCCAACTTCTAATTTTGAAAATACTGCTGTAAACAAGGGCTTGGAACAGATGACTCCCAGTGGTCTCTTGCCATCTGAGTTAATTTGATTTTTTGATTGTCCTGAAATAGCAAAAAGACCTGGGAAGCAGTTCTGCATTCTCTTTTATATAAGGTATTTTGTACCTTTTTAAACCACAGGTTAGTAGCAGCCCCTTGAGAGGTATTGGACAGAACACAATTTGTCTGCCAGAAAAATACTACAAGTTTTGTTTGTTCAGTTTAAAAGTCTGTAATTCCTGAATGCTTTCCTAATTAGCTAGCAAAGGGAGAAGTGTGGGAAAAGGGAATAACAGCAGATCTATGTGCAAAATCAATCTGGGTCATTCTAGACAGAGGATAACCTTAAAGGTGATACAGCCAGGCAAACTGTGGATGAGCGAAGGAAAAATATAAGAGAAAGCACAGATGTGACTGCAAGGGAATCCAATAAACTGTTCAACAGTTTAGGAGAAAAGAGAGGGAATGAGGCCTGATGATTGTGATGGTGAGGAGAGGCTGAACAGTGAACGAGATGTGTGATGGGACCTGCCAGGTGTCTTAGTCACCAGCTGTGGCTCTTCCCAAATTTATGGCTGGAAGCCGTGAGGTTTCTCAGGACAGGAGCCAGCCTGGACCAGTGACATGCAAACTACTGGTGATGGGAAACAACAGAGCATAAAGAACATCTCCCTGAGGCTCATCTTTTCACAGCACAGCTTAATATTCCATCCCACCAACACTGTAAATTAAACCAGGATATGGTGTAGAGAAAATCAGATTGGTTAGACCTGACAGTGAGTGCTCTGTGACCACCTCATACCTGTAAATCCCCCCTGACATTACAGGACAGAGGAAACAGATAAAGCAGCTCTTGGCCTGGATGGACAGGATGCTGCCCCGTACCTGAGGTGGGATGACACCTCCGCAGATGACCAGGATGTCTGGACGGTGGAGGGCGCTGAGCTCCTTGATGAGTTCAGGCACCAGGGTTTTGTGTCCTGCCGCCAGCGTGCTCACCCCCACACAGTGCACGTCGGCATCCACCGCCTGCTGTGCCACCTCCCGGGGGGTCTGCGTGGAGACAGGGAATGTCACAGGGAACAGCCCCAGCCTGGCCGCTGCACTGGCACCAGAGGGACAATGGGTGCGTTTGGAATACACTGGATTCAATCAGTCCTACCTGGAAGAGGGGCCCGATGTCCACGTCGAAGCCGATGTCTGCAAATCCCGTGGCGATGACTTTGGCCCCTCTGTCGTGGCCGTCCTGGCCCATCTTTGCCACAAGAATGCGAGGCCGGCGCCCCTCACGGTCCATGAACTTGTTAACTCTGGTGGAAAACACCTCTTGTATCAGTGCAAGTCACTGAGAAGCATTAGAAATATTTCCACACATGAAAAACGCACTGGCTGCAAGTATGGCATAACTTCTGTACATCAGATAAAAAGATCTTTTAAGTCATGGCTTGGCTATATTTACTACCATATATAATTATGGTAGTAATACTATATGTTACTAATATATAATTACTAACCAGTATATTAATATTCATGTTATATAATCACTAACTCACTTCTTGTATTTATCAGCCTCACCAATAAAATGTTCTTTTTTTAAAAAACCCACTCCCCTACTCTTCTGCTTTCTAACACACAAAATCCTGAATTCTCTGAGGGTTTAATGAGCTGAATTAAAACAAACTAAACCACAATTTTTATATTTTGAGAATAATTATGTCTGATTATTTCAGAAGAGCTTGCACACAGCTTATAGAGACAGGTCCTGGATATCACATTGTGCATCATCACCATTCCACTGGGCACAAGACTGTCCAGAGAAGGATTACTGTATCCCAAATTTGGTGTACTTGTTCCCCCTCTTTTTTAGGATAGTAGCTGTTCCTATTTCTCTTGTATTGAAGAGCCTGAGATATTATTCTTTCATCTTATTGCTCATTATTCATGTACCACCAGGATCTGTCTGTGAGTGGGGCACTAAGACTACCCCTTCTTAGAAATAAAAGCTTTTGTGGTTTTGTTTGGTTTGGTTTGATTTTTTGTGGGTTTGTTTTTTTAAATATTGTACTGGACACCTTGAAAAGGAATTATGTCAAGACAGCCTGAGGAAGCAAACTGACAGAGCTTCTGCTTGAGGGTGTACAGGAGTCAGGCCAGCCTAAGGACTGCTAAGAGTATTGGTGAAGTAGCTACCTGAATTGATTTGTGACATCTCTAAATCATTTTCTCTGTATTGTTTTCAGTTTCCACATTCTTGTTTTCTTACTTCCCCATCCACAGGCTCCCTCCTAACAAGAACAGCTCCAAGCCTGCCAAGGCTAAAACCACGTGAGCCCCTGGAATTCTGGGCTTGGTTTACGTGCTGGGCAGTGTGAAATCCCCTTATGAAGGGCTGTGCCAAGTGACACACAGCAAATCCAGTTTTGTCACCAGGTTTACTAAGTGGTACATATGACCTTGGACATAAAGGCAGGATGGTGGTGGAGTCCCCATCCCTGGAAGTGTTCAAGAATCGACTGGACGTGGCACTGAGTGCTCTGGTCTAGTTAACAAGGTGGTGATTGGTCAAAGGTTGCATTCTACGATCTTGGAAGTCTTTTCCAACCTAAATGATTCTGTGATTCTCTGTAAAAAAGGGAGCTACACCTTGATTTTCAAGGATTTAGTTCAGTTCAGTTTCACATAAAAACCATAATTACAAATACCCAAATTTAAATATTTGAAACAAAAGAAGATATTCCCCAGCACAATTACTTTCAAGTCAATCTGAACATGGCCACTGTGAAGCCATCAAGTAATTCCCTTTCCAGAGAGCCTGAACTCTTTAACATGTAAGCCCCAACACAGCAGGGACTGATGGGCATCGATTGGAATTACATCACCTCCCACTACAGCAATTCAGGCTCTTTACCCCTGAGGGTAGCAGTGAAGGCAGAAGCTGAGAAAAGGCACAAATAGGCAGCTGTTTTCACACATACCACCATCTTCAGATGTTTTCTCCATCGGGATATGAGTAAGTGGAAATTGTATGTGGATATCCAGACAGATTTCAGCCTGACAGTTTTAGTAAGAGTGAAACTGCAGGACCAATTATGGGTAGATCAAGATTTTGTAATATGAATTGCTGGAGATATTTTAGAGGTTACTATTACACAGCCTCCAAAAGAAGCAATCCAACGTACAGGGATTTCAGGCAGAGTTTCTCAGCTTCTCAATCCTATGGCTGTACAGGCTTTTTGAACAAAATTCTCACACCGTAACATCACCTTGGTGTTTGCAAGCAAATAAAAGTTCAAATAAGTTTTTACTATTGTCTTACTGCACTAAATTCTTGTCGTTCTCCTTCCTTGCACGAGAGTGCCTGTCATGCTTTGCAGGTCAATTGTTGCAGGGTCATTGCTTTGATCTGCGCATGTCACTCAGGTTTGGGAAATGCTTTTTTTAGGGCACAGTGGTAGCACATTTACCTCCTGGATGAAATGGGAGGCTATTAAATGGCTGGCTACCTGGGAAGCAATTCCTACCTATTGATGGCATGTAGGATTTCATCACTCTCCCCAAATTCCTGGCGGTAGGCTCCGCTCACCATCCGGTCACTGGCTTTGTGCTCCCCGAACACCTTCTTCATGGCATCTGTTATTTCTCCCACAGTGCACCTGAGGCATGGACACAAAGCAGGAATATCATCAGGAGGCTGAAAGGAAAACAGGACACAGACATCACCGACCCAACTATTTCCCTTGCTGCAGGACAAATTCATTTACATTCCTTTCCCTTTCGGTGCTGCAACTCTGAAGATGTGACTCACCCCACTGTCACCCACTAATGGAACATGCAAAGGCAATTTTAAGAAGTCCCACATTGCTGATGTGAGAACTGATTTACAAGTGGTAACGCAATGGGGACTACTGCATGGCAAAATATTTTAGAAAATTAAATCAGATTTTCTGAACAGGGATTTTTGGGAGGCTCAGACCTTGCATTTGGACTCATACTAAAATATACCAAATATAAATCAAGAGGGGGCAAAACCAGGAGGAACACACAGAAAAGACTGACACCTAACATTTTAACTGGAATATGCTTGCCTTTCCCTTATTATTTTATTTTAGTGTTTATTATTCTTCTCCTCTACTCCTGACACAGCTCCCTTGTCCACTAAGATGCAGAAGAATCTGGGAAATTTATTTGCACACAAGTTACAAGTTTTGTTTGCTACTGGACACACTGTGCACATTTGAAATAATAACACACTTTATTGCTGCAGCACAAGTGAGAGAAGCAAACCAGGCTGTGCTGTCTTCTTGTACAAACATCAGAAATAACAGCCTCTGTCCTAAAGTAATTAAAAACCTCGTGCTGAATACAACTTGCTGCAAACTTTGTCAAAGGAAAGAAATAAAAATACCGCTCTTATAAAACACATGTGCTTAGATAGAGACCAGACCAACCAGACCAGACCAGGCCAGACCAACCAACCAACTCAGCTACTGCTAAGCACATTTCAAACCTCTGGAATTCTCATTTTCTCCTGCATTTGTTCCCTACAACCACCTGAAAGGAGGTAGCAGCCAACTGGAGGTTGGTCCCTTCTGAAAGAGAGGTAAAACCTCTGCAACCCTTTAAATCTGAAGTACTTAAGTAATAACAGTTTTGGTTTTCAGCTACTCATGAATGCTCTCCTACTGTCTACCAGTAAACTTATAAACTTTATTTTTAAATCTCTGCCACATATGCATCCACAAGGAATAGCTCTCTCTGCAGCCAGGAATTCTTTTCTTAACAGAGTGAACAGCCTCTTTTCTTAACAGAGTGAGATTTTTTATCAGCCTATAGCCCTTAAAAATGTCTGGTGGCTGAGGCAATATATTTGTATATAAACTGTTTATGTCTTACTAACTGCTCAGAATTACTGCTGACCACCTGCTGGATCAGAGCCCTCCACTGCCCAGAGATTACCTGTGCTTCCTGAAAAGCAGGTGATTTCCCAACAAAAGTAGCTTGGCTCTTGGCTAAGCTTTGGGTCAGTGTGATTAAAGACAAGCACAACTGTGATCAGAGAAGATATTGTTCATTTGTGTGTCCTGCAGGGCACAGGATCTGTTTCCTTTGGCAACTTATGCTGTGATTTACCCCAGTGGCTCACAACAGGCTGTGCTGCCCAAATGCCAACTCGAAGAAGCTCAATGACCACAACGTGCCTGTCAGAACTGTCACCTCCTGTGTACTCGGCCTCACGCTCCTGCCTGTGCATTTCAGCAGGAATGAGAGGCAGCAGTGTGAAATCAGGGGACAGAGTACCATGAGGAAACAGGCTGGGCAGACAAAGGGGCAGCACAACATGATACAATGCACTCCTGCTTTCTTTTTCCATCACTGGGAGCTGGCACAGCAGGAACTGGAGGCTGGAGAGGGACAGAAAAAACAGGAACGCAGATGGAGGTGATAAAGAACTTGGCATAACCTCCTCATGCCCTACCTAACTACACCTATTTGCCTGTGACTTCACATGAGAAATGAGGCACAGAAGGGAGGCAGCACTGCTCCCATTCCCTGTCACCTCGGAGCTGCCTTATTACTTTGGTCAGAGTAACAAAATTACTTTTCTACTTGTGTTTGTCAGCGCTGAAATCGCCATATTAGTCCATGGAGTCTCATCACTGAAAATTCTGTGCTACTTATTTTATTCCACGTGAATTAGATGACATCATGATCAAAATCCATCATTTTCCATTCAGTAGGAAAGAGGCACCTGCCTCTATCTTGCTGGTGACACTGGCCCATTTATCTACCGTTTGGGAAGGGTGAATGTGCTTCACTTGAAAAGCTTTTCCCACACTGCCACCAACAGAAAGGCTTCCCATAAGTGTTCCCAGAGCTCACAATCCCCCTTCAGACCCTCTGTACCAGATGCCAGGACAGTTTCTTTCTTGGTAACATTCCATTTATAGTTTTGATGCAGAATTAAGTTTTGTGTTTGCAGCTTACAAAGTGGATCTACAGTCCATTAATACCTTTATAATTAATAAAGACACGGTCACCAAGGAGAGAAACTGTGAGTTAACTGGCCAGTTCTGGTACAGAAGATATGACTCCCTGTAAATCCAACACAACCCTCCTGTGTGACCTTCACAGCTTCACAGACAAATATAGACATGCTGTTGGAGATTCCAGACAAGTTCTGTGTGGGGAGAAAGTGCATTCAAAATACAGCTGTTAAGTGTTCAATGAAAGAATTTAAGATATTGCAGTAAAAAGAGGCCAGTGCTCCAACAAAGAGTGAATTTGGTTTGCTCATTTTTGGGGTATTGAGTTAATTAAGGAACAGACAGACAGGATCTCTTCTAGAGACTGATGATGACCTTGAAATAGGAAAGAAAATAGCCTCAAAAGCACCTTGGGTGAAAAAAGTGACTGTTCCACTGGACTCTGAGGATGCCTCACTGCACCACTCAAGAGCACCTTTGACATCTTTGCCTGACTAAGCAAACTGATTTCTCCTTCAGTCAAAAAATGTTTTCACACCATTCTGTGGTGCAAGGAAAGAAGAAGCAACAGAGCATGATAAGATTGTGAATATCCATTTTCACATCTCAGACTCTTCTTAAGCTCCATGACCCATGAGCCAGCAGGGTGTCAGAGAAACCCAGTTACATCCTGAAACTGGAAAGATTATGAGTTGTAAAAAGCACAGTGCATATGAACAATCTCAGTTCATATGAGATTCTTCATATCATTCTGCATTGTTCCTTGTGAGAAATTAAAGCATGGCCTTAAGAGGCTGTAAAATGTAATAATGGTCTATTTGACAGTGTGAAACTGCAGCCACCCTTTACTTCCACCTCTGAAGAAAAAACCCCAAAACATCTCGAAACACCAATCTCACTGACACCACACCCAAGAACAGTGTAAAGGTGAAAATGAGCCACTGATTTTCAAGCAGCAGTTGCTTGTTCACCCCCAGTACCTGGCACGTGCTGCTTCCACTGCAAGACCAAGGAGGTTTCCTTCCCCAGTGGCAGCACATTTTGTCAGAGCATCCAGGCACTGCTGGGCTGCTGCATTATCTCTGGTGGCCTTCACCTACAGTGCAGAGGAAAAATGCTGGGTTAAAACAAACTGCTAAGTGAAATGAGAAGTTGAGTATGTAAGACTGTTTGATTTCAAATATTAATTCTGGAGGCATGGAATTGTCAATACACACCATATAGTTCAATAAGATTAGAGGTAAAAAGACATCTCAGACCTTAAAATGTGCACAAGTCCATAACATAACTCTAAGCCAGTTTTATCTACATTTTTACTGGTTATGAAAGTGTATATTGATTTCTGGTTCCATAGCCCTGTCCCTCAGTAGCTCTTGACAAGCTGCACCAAACAGTCTGAGTGACTAAGCAATGCTACCTGTTTTTAGAGCAAAACATTGCATAGCTGTTTCCTATCTTATTTTCAGGACATGTAAAGCTCCCAGTTTTTAAAGGTTAGATATATTTTCACATGACTACCTGAAATACAATGAGGAAAATCAAATTAATGTAACAAAATTTTTGTCTGTATTCTAATACCGTGTTTCAGTATTAGAGAAAACAGCAAGCCACCTTTACCCAAGTTCTATCTGCAATTACAAGAAGTTCCCTTTTTAAAAAGGTTGTTCCCACCTTGTTGATCTTCTCAATCTGCCTGGCACGGACTGCAGTGTTATCAATGGCCAGAACTTCCACTGCCTCCTCTTTCTCCAGCTGATGCTTGTTTACTCCAACAATTACTTCAGACCCTATTTCCAATGCAAACACCAGAAACATCAGAACACATTTGCAAACTACTGTGAAAAGACACAGTATCAACAGGACGAGAAGTTTTTGAGCATCATAATGCTTTATAACTATATACATTTCAAACATGTAAAATTTTCTCTTATAGAAAGGATTTAAGTCTGTATGTTTCAGATTTTATGATGAGAGGTTATTAAATGCATGAACATTCAACTCAGGGAACACTGAGCCAGAAAAAAAGATATGAAATAGAATAATATTTATCTTACAAACTGATGTAGTAATGAGCCCCTAATATACATTGGCCATTTGCTATTTTTAAGCTTACAGAATTAAGCAGAAGTGCTGGTCTCCTGCACTCCTCTGCATTTACTTTTCTGACTTACCAAATGAAGTGAAGTTCCTACCTAAAACTACTCCATGTGAATAAAAATGGAGTGGAAAACTATATTTTAGCTTTCAGCCAGTATGGACTTATCAATCATTTTTATTTGCAGTGCCTGATAACATTAATATACTCTTTGAAGCAACATCAAGTAATTCACCCTGGGAGAGAAAACACAGAACTTTACTGATTATTCTTTATTGGTCTTAATTAAGACCTGCTTCAAATTTATCCTCCATACAAAAAGTTCATGTAACTTCTTTCAGGTATGAGTTATCCCTGTTTTCTGTTACTGGACTGCTACCGGAATGCAAATTACAAAAAGTGGAATAGAGTTATAAGGACACGTGTAAAAATATCTCTCCATATATATGCACTGTATGTGTATACATTCACATACATGTCTATTTATCACAAATAAAGAGCTGTATCATCCTCTGCACTGCACTGTTTCTGGTCTTATAACGGGTCCTCCAGTAAACCCAGGAATTTGACCAGCTGCATTCCATACTGCCATCTGGTGGCATTCCTGCTTTTAAATTCAGGAATCACAGATAAAAGCTCCTACCAGAAATTAACCTATTAACTATTGAAGGCTCCAAATATCCCTTTAAAATGGTCTTTCTAGTGCCTTGTCTGATCTAATCTTCAATATGTCAAGCAAGGCTTTTCACACTGGTGCTTTATTTCATAAATCTCTTTCCAGAAGCTTTCACTGGCATAAAACTGTCACCATTCATTTTACCACTCACAATCTGTTACTCTTAAACTAAGATGACAAAAAAACCAATCAAAACGTGTGTAAAAATGTTTATATAAAGGATTTTAGTGGCAGTCGTTCCTACTTTCATCTCCCTGCTCCTACCAGAGTCAATCCTGGCTTGTCTCCGGGCTGCACACTCTTCAATACGAAGTTTGGGAATCCCCTCAGCAACGGCTTTGGCCATTCCACCCATTCCTTCTATCTCCTCAATAAGCTGAGAAATGAAGAGGATTGAGAAAGTGAGCAGTAAAAAGGTCTAAAAAAATGAGCTCTGTACTTGTACTACCATCCAAATTTTTATTATGCCTACCTGTCCAGTCCCGTGCTCTAAACTGTATTTTGTAAAGTTCACAAAGAAATCACTGAAGCATAAGTGTAAAATAATTCCTTGTTTAGAAGTTACCAACTTATCAAACAGTCCCTTAAAATATACATCTCAAAGCTCCATCCCTAAAATTTTCCCAGGAAAGATTATGCAAACTGACCTTTAAGGCAGCTTCATAGACATCGTTGGTGAGGCACTCCATGAGGTAAGATCCCCCCCAGGGATCTGCCACTTTGGGAATTCCTGATTCCTCTTGGATTATGATCTGTGTGTTCCTGGCAATGCGAGCACTTTTCACTGTGGGCAAACCCAGGGCTTCATCAAAGGAGTTTGTGTGCAAGGACTGTGTTCCCCCAAACACCGCAGCCATGGCCTCGATCGTGGTGCGGATAATGTTGTTAAAGGGATCCTGGAAGGGAAAGGACAGCTCTGGAACTCAGAGGTTCTGCCTGGTTGGTCACACACACATCACTGCAAGAAAATGGATGCAAGACTCCCCACTGAAACACTGGAATCAGAACAAAAGCTGAGAAAACCCCAGTCAATAACGGGCCTCAAATCCAATGGATTTATCACTTGTCAGTATCTTAACACAGAGATTAATCCAGAAAGAAAGACAACATTATCAGTGTGTGAGTAAACTGGTCATGGTAACAAATCAAAGCCTAACTTATATTTAGTGGTGCTTAGAAGGCCTTAATGAATCCAAGTTGGAGAGGATGGAACAGGTAGGCCTGATGTCCTCCATCCTCAGAATCTGGAATTCTTGGAGCAGTGAACAGCCCGTGTGTCAGACAGGTTACTAGTCAAGATCTGTTTTGGAACTAAATGTTCCTAAATAATTTTCATTAATGACAACATTACATAAAGGTAGAAATTACAATTGCAACTTGCTGGTGCTATAAAATTGAAAGACAGGTATAGAAATAGAGTCAGTTTTACAGAATATAATCTCAGTCTTTAAGAGTTGTATGTAAATGTCCTCACAGTTCAAGAGGTGGTCTCCATGTTCTGAGGTGGAGTGAAGACTCACACACTGCAGATGCCTGTCCTTTTTGATGTGATTATTGAGGGAATTCATTGATAGGTCAAGACTGCACACCTAATTCTTGAAGGGCTTTGGTGAGATGAATGTATACAAAAATTTAGAGCCACCAATGTGGCCTTGAAGAAGGCAAACTGAACCATAAGCTCTGTGAGTTACATTATCCTCCATGAAGAACTGGAATTGATATCACTGTTTTACAGAACATGGTAATTCTGCCTACTGGAGCCTTTCTGGTTCAAGTATTCCATGTAAAGAATTACAGAAAAATGGGATTTGGACAAACAAGAATGTAAAACCTAATTTATAAGTAAGTACATATCTAAAGGCAGGTCAAAGGAAAATATATTTGCCCCCTGAAACCTACTGGAGTAAACACTGGGCACTGAGAAGCTACATTAAGACAACAGCAATGCTTAGACATGAAAAAAGGGGTTATAATCCAGGTAGAAAATTATTTACACTGGAGACCTGAAGATGGTTGAATATTAATATTAATTAATGAATATTAATATTAATATTTTTGTACCTACACAGTACTTTTAATTGGAGGACCCATAAAGGCCACTGCTCAGAACATTCCATTGTTTTAGTTGTACTGTGTTGTTGCAATGTAAGTAAAAATTACATTTACTTTGACCAAAAACCAAGAATAAAACCACGAAGTCAAATAACAATGGTAGCAATCACAACCTAAAAATAACTCCTATTGCCTGACTTTGATTGACCTCACTTGGGAAACTATATGCACTCCAGTGATTTATTTTCTTTCTGTAATTTAACAGAACAGGAAGAATAGAGAGTGCACCCAGATTTTAAAGAACAGATGAGCTGTAACCATTCCTTCCCTCTTCAGCAGTTGTCATCAGGGGCATGAGTGACTTCCTTGGCTCCTCAAATGCACTCTCAAGCCAGTGATCCTGAGAAAAAAGTGCCACTACTTCCTCACTCAGCTGCACTTTGAAAGGGTATCTTACAGGACAAATCCAAGAAGGGGCTTCACGCTCTGAGTCCTGAATTAATACAAAAATGTATCCACTGCTTGTGTATGCATCTGTCAAACTCAGAGTGGGACAGGTGTCCTCCTTCAGGAAGCTGCACCTTAGTGAGTAACACCAGCAGCCCCCTTTTAGATCCTCACCATGAGAACATATTTAAGTGAGGAAGGTGATGACAGTCCCATTTCTAACCTGCTCAGTGAGTGACCAGCCCGAAGTCTGACAATGAGCTCTCAGCAGAAGAGATTTGGGATCCTTGGGCTTAAACATTTTCTCAATCAAGTGAGCCCAGAGCCGCCTCCCAGCTCTCAGCTTGGCTATTTCCATGTAGAAGTTCATCCCAATTCCCCAGAAGAAGGAGAGCCTGTAATAAGAGCACAGAAACAGGATAAACCGTGAAACCATTCTAATAATTTTGTTTCAGTAAAGGATAAATCCTACAGCAAGGTCTCTGATTAATGTATTTTTGCAGATGATGGGAATGTTCCTGGACACTGATGCCAGTTGCAACATTTATGTCAATAAAGTGACTTAACCTCCAAATAGGGTGACTGAAAGCAAACTGCCACTGCCAGTGGCCCCTGGAACTGCTAAACTGTCCCCAGGAACTGTTTTGGGGGAGCTCTCAGTCAAGCAGTGTTCCAGCAAGGCCCTAATACAGACAGTGACAGTGTAGTGCCATTTACTAGTGCAGTTAAACTCACAAACTACTTACAATACGAAGGCATTACATATTACAAGCATGCTTTCATCCTTTACCTGATGATTTTAATCAAAATCCAAATCAGTTTAATACAGGACAGCATTATCGGGGAACAGACTGATCAATACACTTTGCTTATTTACAGCTTTTATGATTTATAAATGTAAACATGCACAGTTCACACCAGTAAAAGTCATTATACTAAAAATGCACTTTTTTAACAGTGAATGAGCTATGGAAATAATTTGGCAGAATCCCCATCACTTGAAAGTCTGAAAATAAGGCTGTATCTTATTCTACATGATCCACCTGGATCTTGCCACAGATGTCAGAGATGGGTTAATTCATTTGATTCCTACAGCTTGAATGTGCAACAGGCTCCATGCACCACACCTTCTCTTTTTTAAACTCCCTGTATAGTTAGGAAATCTGTAAATAAACCACTGAAACTATAATTCTTGCCTAGCTTGGCAGTAACTATACAAAAAATACAATATTCTGCTTAAAATTAAATTAAAATTGACCTTGACAATGCTTGTGCATGAGCTTTATTCCAGTTTATCAGCCTAGGTGTTGGGCAAAATATTTCAGTTATTTTCCAATAACTGAAATCATGCAACAAAATCAAAACCAAACCTATTTGCAATGTGAGCATTGCCAATATTGCTTGTATGCCTAAATATACAGAATGTATATAAAAAACCACCACACCATATTAAACTCTTTAGTGGTTTTACCAAAAAGTGAGTTTTATACCTGCAAATTTCTTGAGCTCACCTTGGTGCAAATTCATCAATGGTGAGGCCAGCTTTAAGCCCAGTTCTGCAGTACTCCAAGCCATCTGCTATGGTATAAGCTAATTCCAGAATGGTGTCAGCTCCTGCCTCTTGCATGTGGTACCCACTGATGGAAATGGAATTAAATTTTGGCATATGCTGCAAAAAAAAAGAGACAACAGGGTATAACAGCAAGGGGGGTGATTGGATAATCGTTCTATCAACATTCACAAATAATCCATTCATAGAATCACAGAATGGGTTGGGTTGGAAGGGACCTTAAAGCTCATCCAGTTCCAATCCCCCTGCCATGGGCAGGGACACCTCCCATTATCACAGGTTGCTCCAACCTGGATTTGAACACTTCCAGGAATGAGGCAGCCACAGTTTCTCTGGGCAACCTGTGCCAGGGCCTCACCATCCTCACAGGGAAGAATTTCTTCCTAGTATCTAACCTGAATCTCTCATCTTTTGGTTTAAAACTCTTCCCCTTGTCCTATCGCTACCTGCCTGTGTAAAAAATTCTCTCAGTCTTTTTATAAGCCCCTTTAGACACTGAAAGGCTGCAATGAGGCCTCTCCCTGGAGCCTTCTCTGCTCCAGGCTGAACAACAGCCTGTGTCCATGGCAGAGGTTTTCCAGTCCATTCTGTGTGCTCCCTGTAGGCTGCAAATATAATCCATCCCTATGAAATGGTGTTTGCAGATCTTTACTTCATGGGTTTCACCTTTTTGCACTATTCATTGCGCCTGTACCATCACTCACCATGCTAGGTATTGTTCTCCATTTCAGGTTGTGTGCCACCTCTCCAGTGAAAATGCAACTAAGAAAACAACTGGGAGCACTGAACTTCCAATCAGCAGTTCCAGACTTCACTCCTTTCATTACCTCCTCACACTTAATTTTGCAGCAGAAGCCCTTCAAGATTCATTACCTCTTTGCTCCTGCAAATAATGCTTAACTATCTGGCTTCTTACTTTCTCTGCAAAAGAACAGCCTGAATGTTCCTCATCTCCAAGCTTCTTGCATCCTTTCAGGCTTAGGCTCACCTTAATCTGACTTTGATTTGAACTGACTTAAAAAACCTTTGAATTTATGTTGTAAGTGATTTGGGATCTTAACTTCTCCTGCCAGCCCTTTCCTCAACCACATGATTCTTCACTATGACAGGTGTTCCCATCTTCTGCTTTGTTCTCCAAAGTGCCTCATAAATAGTTAACCTGACATAGTAACAGAAGTAAGTACATTTAAACTAGGAATACCTTTGAGGTGTACTGGAAGATGTCAGCAATGATCCTCATCGACGGCTCTGGGGGGAATATGTACGTATTGCGGACCATGAACTCCTTCAGGATGTCATTTTGGATTGTCCCTGTCAGCTTGGCCTGGGGCACTCCCTGCTCTTCTCCAGTCACAATGAATGTTGCCAACACGGGAATCACTGCCCCGTTCATCGTCATGGAAACAGACATTTTCTCCAAAGGAATCCCATCAAAAAGGATTTTGGTGTCTTCCACTGTGTCAATGGCAACTCCAGCCATTCCAACATCTCCTCGAACTCGCGGATTGTCTGAGTCATACCCACGGTGCGTGGCTAAATCAAAAGCAACAGACAATCCCTGCTGGCCAGCTACAGGAAAGAGAAACAAAAAAAACATGACACCAAAAGATGCAGAAATCCCCAAACAACTCCTCAACAATCATAGAGATTTGGTTTGGGTTGGAAGGGACCTTAAAGATCATCTAGTTCCAACCCCCTGCCATGGGCAGGGACATCTGCAAAGGACAATACTCTAAAAAATATTGGGAAAACCGTTCTCAAATAAGGAAAATCCCCATATTTTGTATTTGGTAATATGCCATGACTGACACTCTTTACAGGTATTTATGTGTTCATTCAGGATATGAGATGGAAACCTAAAATGTCAGAATGTACTAACACCAGAAGTTAAGTTATATATTTCAACATTTTTTTCCACTACAATCTTCTCTCATGGTCTCAAAGCAAGTGTGAAGTGCTCCATGATCTCTGCTGGTTGGACTCTGGGATGGAGCCAAATTATGTCTATCTATGTGTTAAGGTGCAATAACTAAAAATAGCGTTTAACACATTTCTTTTCCACAGCAAAATGAAGCAAAGGGAGTTCCAGAAATGATCAAATTTCCCAATAATAAAGAAATACAGCGCCACTGGGAAGATCCCATCAGAAACCCAAACTCATGAGGCAGAAAAATCACACTTGCCACGTAACTCACCAAATCCATGTTCCCCACTGCTTCACAAGGCAATGTTTTTTTCCCAAACCAGCTGCCCTACCTTTTATGTTGTCCTTGTAGAACTTGTTGCTCTCCTCCACTGTGCTGAATCCAGCATATTGTCGGATTGTCCATGGTCTGTAGGTGTACATGGTGGGATAAGGCCCCCGAGTGAAAGGTTTCATCCCTGGCAGCTCCTCAGGGAAGTCCTCGGTGTCCCTCTTGGAGTACAGCGGCTTGATGTCGATCCCCTCTGGGGTGTGCCAGATTAAATCCTTGGGGTTCTTGCCTTTCAGCTGCTTTTCAGCCAGGGCAGCCCACTCTGGGTGCAGGGGTTGCTTGTGCAGGGAACGCCACGCGTTCCGGCCGGCTGGAATCTGTGCCGGGGGCGTGCGGCGGCACGGTCGCAGCCGCAGGACGGCAGCCCTGGCCCTCAGCATGGCCGAGCTGTCAGCCTGGGGCGAGCTGGACAAAATAAACACACATGCACATAGCTGCATTATCATTTTCCTCCAGCCAAGGAAACATTCCCAAACCCGTCTATATCCACATCGGAAATATGTAACTTATTCAGTCCCCCAGCAGCACCACCGTTAATCAGTCGCTGAAAAGCCAGTGTGAGGCGTGAAGATGCCATGCCCAGCTACCCTCTGACCTTCCCATCTCCCTCACCTATGAATTTCTAAATGGCAAAGACGGATGCTCTTCCAGGGATGGGGCAGCTAAGGCTTCTCTGGGAAACCTGCACCAGGGCCTCACCACCCTCACAGGGAAGGTTTTCTTCCTAATATCCAACATCAAGGAGGCACTCTGCAGGAAGTGGACTGTCAGAAAATTGCTGATGTATCACAAACTTTGGAAAAGGTGGCTTGGGCTGGATGGTAACCAGAGATACACTGAGGAAAAAAGGAGAAAAAGATTGTGGTATGTGAGGACATAGGGGTAATGCAAGAGCTGCAGAGCTCAGCCCACCACACGTGGTATGGAAGACAACTTTAACTTTCTCTGTGATGGTGGTGAGGCCTTGGCACAGGTTGCCCAGAGAAGCTGTGGTTGCTTCATCCCTGGAAATGTTCAAGGCTGAATGGGGCTTGGAGCAACCTGGTGTAGTGGAAGGCATCCCAGCCCATGGCAGGGGGTTGGAATGAGATCATCTTTAACGTCCTACCCAAACCATCCTGTGATTCTGTAAGCTCAGTAACTCCTGAAAGCTCCTTTGCTGCTGCTCTCCATACCCTATCCCTGCCTTCTTTCTGAAGCCACAGCCTTTACAGCTTGGCTCCAAGGGCCATTCATCTCCTCTCTGCCTCACTGCCTTCTCAACTCCGGGAAAATCGCACTTCCCTGACAACTGTTAAGATCACTGAAGGACTCTGTCTACTCTGCCAAAGTGTATAAGGAAGCTACAACCATGGAAGCCCACCCTGTCCAAATATGCCTCCTGAAACTGGGAAACTGGACTGTGGGTTCAGCCACCTGAACTTGAGATAAAATAAAGGTGGTACTACTGTCCAGTTATCTCAGGTCTAAGGAGAAGTGAACAAGGCTGGGGGAGAGGAATGTATCCACAAGGAAAGTCCATTCAGCAGCTGTGCTGAAAGTCAGCCCTGGCTGGGTCTGGCAGTGGGCGACCTTAGACCCCAGACTCATTTCTGAGCCCTTCCACCATATGATCCACAGTGTTGCAACAGATCCAGAGTGCTGCAAAAGACTATAAAACTCTCTCCTGCAGGGGAAGTGCTTGGGCACCCCATGTACCTGAACTCATATTAATCCATTGACTGGACTCTGTGTTTTGTGGAACCCCCACCACCAAGAAGGCAGGGGCAAAAGGACTACAGGACACCTTCTGTACATCTGTCTACTCTTTGCCACTCTCTTTCTCTCCCCCTCTCTCTCTTTTCTATTTCTTTCTCTCTCTCTCAGTCCCCCTCACATTTACTGTCAAATAAAATCCGTACTACTGACTTCGTCGCGTCTGCATTTTAACTGGGGGTAGAGGCATCTCTATGACAACCGCAATAATCTGATCACAACAACCCGCTCCAGGAGCTCCTCGTCTCTCCCATTCCAAGCAGCCCAGGGCTGGGCACAGCACTCCAGATGTGCCTCCCCAGGGCTGAGCAGAGGGGCGGGATCCCCTCCCGGACCTGCTGGCAGTGCTGTCACTAACACACCCCGGGATTGTTCCTCCCCAGGCGCAGGACGCTGCAACGGCCCTCGCTGAGCTTCAGACAGTTCTCTGCCCGCCTCTCCATCGCCAGCCCCTCACCCCGAGGGAGCCCCAAAGCCGCCCTGCCCGCTGTCCCCCCCTCAGCGCCCACAGCCGGGGGGGTTACCGGGCACCCCTCGCCCGCCCACAAACACGCCCTCTTGGCCGCCAATGGGGACGCGGGGCCGGGACGGGGGCTGGGATAGGGGATCGGGACAAGGACAGGGGTTCCGGGCAGGGATATGGACAGGGATAAGGGCAGGAATGGGAACAGGGACAGACACACACACACACACGCTCCCCCTTCCCGCTCCCGTTACCTGTCCCGGCCCCTCCGTCAGCGCCCCGACTCCGCGCACGCGCGGCGGGCGGGAACGTCAGTGCGCGTGCGCGCGGGGAGCGCGGTTTATTTTGTAACGTCCCGGCGGGCTGAGGCGGGAGCGCTAAGGAGGAGGAAGAGGAGGCAGAGTAGGCAGAGTCGGCAGAGTCCGGTTGGGCCGGTGAGGCTCGGCGGGGGAGGGTGAACCGGGAGGAGGGGGAAGGTTTTCGTGGAGGTGTTACCCGAGGGGTTATCCGGCAGCGACGGGAGAGCGGGTGTTTTGGGGTATAGAGGGGTATGGGTGGGGAGGACTACAACTCCCAGCCTGCTTTGCGCTCGGTGGGCGAGTAGACTGAGCGGCGTTGGGGAGCGGTGGTTGCCGGGAGTTGTAGTCCCACGTCATCTCTTGTGCCCTGCGAAAGCTGTGCCGCAGCATCGGTAGCTGCAGAGAGGAAAGACAGCGCTTACTTGCCTGGTTTAGGATTTATATACCTTTTGTAGGGCTTGCTTACCTAGTTAAGGCATTATTTACCTCTTATAGGGCTTATTAACATGGCTTGCTTACCTGGCACGGGGCTTATTTATCTGGTGTAGGGCTTGTTTACCTGGTATCAGTCGCAACACTCCCCTTGGCCTTGAACACTTCCAGGGAAGGAGCAGCCACAGCTTCTCTGGGCAACCTGTGCCAGGGCCTCACCTCCCTTTCAGGGAAGAGTTTTTTCCTAATATCTCATCTAAACCTGCTGTCAGTTTAAAGCCCTTCTTCCTTGTCCTGTCCCTTCAGACCCTTGTGCAAAGTCCCTCTCCAGCTCTCTTTAGAGCCCCTTTAGGCACTGGAAGGGGCTCTAAGTTCTCCCCAGAGCCTTCTCCAGGTGAACACCCCCAGTTCTCCCAGCCTGTCTCCACAGCAGAGGTGCTCCAGCCCTCAGGGCATCTCCATAGCATCCCCTGGAGTTGCTCCAGCAGCTCCACAGCCTTCTTATTTTGGGGACCCCAGAGCTGGACACAGTGTTGCAGGTAGGGTCTTTTGAGAGAAGAGAATTTTCTACTGATGGAAATCTTTAAGAACAAATTAGGCTTTTCTCAGGTCAGTTCTGTTTCTTTGCCTTTGCTGCTCTTTGACATACCTGTCATGCTGCCTTTTGACTTCAGAAGCAGATGTGAAACAAGTAAAAGTTTGTCTAAAAGGCAAATGAGGCTGCTTTTTTAGGAGTGCTGCACTTGGGTAAATATACAAGATTTAGGCCTTAAATTGACTAATATGCAAACATTTGTGCTCATTTAGGATCATAATTGCTAGATTTTAATTTTGTCTTTTCCTCCTGTTTCTGTTGGTTTACAGATAATGAAACCCCGCCACACACCTTCCACTAAAATGGGGGAGAACCCCGGTGGGAGATCAGCAAAAAACCCTTTTAAGTCTCAACACAAACTGAGGCCTTCCAGCAAAAAAAAAGGAACAGATGGAGAAGGAAGAAAACAAGGTCAAAAAAGACAGGTATTCATTATTTTGGATCGAAATAGAAAAGTAACCAAAGTGGGTGGGAAAAAGAGGTATTTTTGCCCATTTTTAAACTGGAATTTATATGGAACAATTAAGTAACTAAATGTAACTTGAGGAAATGCCCAGTGTGAACAGCTCTTTTGAGCAGCCTTGGCTGCTTCCTGGTTTCCAGAATTCCTAGTTGGGTGCTACTGTGCCTGTCACAAGTAGAGGGAAGCATTGCCTGATCATGAGCAAAAAGGCAAGCTGGCTGTGCAGTTGTGAAGAGCTGCTGAACAGCATCTGATTGAGCAGAGTGATTGGGTCAGGGTTCATTCAGCTCAGTTTATTCACCTTTGGAAAACATTCTCTGCACGTCTCAGGGCTGGATTCTCCAATAAGTGTTCTTGCTCAGCCACTGAACTTATGAACAGCACAACCTCAAGATGTGGCTGAACAGCCAAACATCCTGTGCACTTATTTCATGGTCTCATTCTTGGAGTGGGAGGAATTGGGAAGAGTGAATTCTTTTTTCCTTAGCCTGCTTGACGTGAGTTATTGTTGCACAGTCCAAAAAAGGTGGTTTTTTAGCGATCAGTGTCAAAGGGCACTGTCAGACAGTGGGTTGATAGTAGTAGATGGATGATTGCACAGCAGAGGATGTTTCAAAATTGCCACATTTGCTGTAAATTTTTCTCTTCAGCAGGTCACTCAGGCAGTTAAAAGGACAGTTAAGGAGCAGAGGGACTATTCTCCTGTAGGTAGGATCTTGTTCTTTCCTGTTAAATCTGAACTGTTACAACTTTGACTCCCATCTGACTGAAATGAGTCACAAAACCGTCTGTCCAGGTTTGACAAATCATATCTTTTCCTTTGCTTCCTTTGTGTTAGCAGGAGAAAACGGTTCTTCAAAAAAGGTGAAGCTTTCCAGTGCTGCAACAGGATCTTGGCAGACTCTCTCAGAGAGCAGTAGGCGATTTCTGGAAACTGTAGTGGATTCAGCAGTACTGTAAGTGTCAAATGTTCTGGTGGTTCTTCTTTGTTTCCACAAGGATTAATGTAAAAATTTTAGTATGGCTTGAACCAGAAATGCTTTGGAGCATTTTTGGGCAATATCTCTGGCTGTCTATGTTTTTTCCAGTATAACATAACACTTTCTATCTGAAATTGGAAATTTTTACCTAGAGAAGTTCTGACAGTGTGCACTTCATTTGTTGTGTTCTCTGTGCTTGCAGGCTTTGTGATGGGAATTCTGCCTTTGTTTTCTTTCCAGATCTGTTTTGTGCCAACAGAGGAAGGAAAAAGATGATGTTCAGAAGCACCTCAATGTACTGAAAAACAGGTAAGAAATTATAAATTAAAAGAAAAGAGGGAGAGAAGAGATTTCTTTTACCCAGTTGTTTTGTACCATGCTTTGAGGGCAGGCTAAACTCTCCCTCTGACAAAAAACTATATATCATGTTTCATAAAAACACTTCCAGGCTTTACTAAAATGATGATTGTTTGGAAACAGTTAAAATGCTGATTTTAGAACTTAGTTTTACTTCAAAAAGCAGAAGGGTCAGAAAAGCTTTTAGTCAGGGAGTGTACAGGCCAATGGGATAGAAACCACACAAGGTCAGTAAGGTGAGAATGGTGGGATTTCTCGTTCCTGGTTCCTTCCTTAGGCTGGCATCTATTCTACATGATTTTGGAAAACAATTCAAGACCGATTTTCTTCCTGTCTGGAGCCTTTTACTTCACTGGCAGCAACTGGGCTAAACTGAGTTTAGTTTTTCCCCAGAGAAGTCATTAGGCACTTCTGGTTTTGCAAAGAACTCCAAACAAGTCACGCTTTCCTTTTTCTACACTTAAGGATGCTGAGATGTTTCAAGACTTTAAAGGTGCCTCCAGGGAAGCTGGACAGCCTGAAGAATATCCCAAGCCTTCAAATGGCAGAGAGACAAATGCTTGAGGCAAATGAGGAATCTTTGGCACAACTGCAGGTATGAAAGGCAAGGAAGGGAAGGAATTACCTTACCCAGCTCCTGCTGCTCAGTGTGTTGTAGCCTTTTAGTAGAGAGAGAGCTGACTGTGCCTGTGCTCTTGTGGAGGAGTGTCCACTGCTCATCATCACCCACCTTTGCTGCACAGCAGTGTCTCTGTCTGGATGGTTCTGTACAAAAGGCTCCCCATCTTTAAAGTAATTTTTATTCTGGTTTTGTGTCTGTTTTATTTTAGGAAGAGATAACTGAAGCTCAGCAATCAGCAGAGCACATCGAGGACACTGTGGAGCAACTGCAGAACAAAATCCAGCTACTCAAGAAGCAGTTAGAGGAAGATGAAAAAGAGGCCAGGAAGGTATTTCCAATAAATACTTCTGTACTCTAACCCATAGGAATGGGCTAACTTCCAGAGCTCTCCTAAACAAGCTGCTTCTCAGGGAATGTCATTTAAGGAAGACTTTGTTTGCTTCTGGGAATGACTCTTTTCAATTTTGCCAATGTTAGTTGGAAAACTAAGAAGTTTAGTTTTCAGAAGTTGGATAATGACAGCTAGGTTATTTCACTAAGTGGGAGACTGATGTTTGGGGGATTTTTCGATTATTTTTTTCTTTTTTAACTTTCTAGGTATTCCAGGAAAATGCCAGTGGAGAACTCCACCTTCCAGAACTCCCCAAGCACAGTTTTCAGGCACCCACTTTGCAGGTGAGCGTGGAATATATAGTATATTTATATACATATATATATAACTGCTACATATATATGTATACATATATATATGTAACACTTTGGTTATGAAAAGGAAGGCAACAGAATGTGCATTTATCACAATTTCTGTGAGAAGGGGCAGTTCTGAAAATTCAGAAAAAATTGAATAGATTTTATTTTTCCCCCTTTTTTTCTTGTTTCTTTTCATTGGGAACTATATACTTATGTTTTAAAAACAGAACAAAACCCTGGAAACTCTCTCCATCCCTGAAAGTGTTCAAGGCCGGGTTGGATGGGACCTGAGCAGCTGCTCTAGTGGAAGGTGTCCCTGTCATTGGCAGGGGGGTTAGAACTGGATAATCTTTAAGCTCCCTTCCAACCTAAATCATTCTCTGATTTAAAGGATCACTTGTCTCTTCCTAGAAAAACCTGTGGTCCTAGGGAATCTGTAATCATACCTGAAATATATCTATAACTGTTGGAGGGAAGACTTACTCTTTGTCTTTTTGAATCTTTTTTCATTTTATTTTGGCTATAGTTGGGCTACATGAAAGGGGAATTCCTGTTGCACTTGACAAAAGCTGTTTTTTATTTGTTGTCTATCATTCTTCTTTAGGAAGAAATTCTGAAGACAAAGAATCAGAAAGGTCTTTTAAAGGATATGAACACTATTCAGCAGTCAGCTGACTTGAAGAACTTGTTAACCCTCATTGAAAAGACCTATGAGAAGGTGGACTTGCTTTGAGAAGATGAAATGTGTGGAGTCTCCTTTGAAGGAGATAATGCCAGCCAGCCCTCTGTGTTCATGTAGAGTAGCAGGATGCTGAGCATGGAAACTGTTTTCTTTCTAATGGCTTTGCTGTTGTGACTGCTGGATTTCTGTTAAAACATTTTCTGTGAATACTGATGTATAAATCTGTAGATACATTCTGGGACTCAAGTGATTTATGTCATCTATCAAGGATTTTTTTGGGTTTTAACTTGTGACGACTTCTATTGTTGATATATCCTGTCTTAGGAGAAGGGAGGGAAATGGATCCTGGGTTATTTGGGCCTTTTTATAGAATTAGGCAACTATTCTATTATATTTGCACTTCTGTATTTACATCTGTAGACCACTGAAGGCAGAATCTCTTTACCAAAATAAGAGTTAAATCCTCTTTAAACCTGAAACACCTAGTAAAAATATGATTATCTAACACTTAGTTGTAAATCCCTTCTTCAATTTTCTACTTCTTTTTTTTTTTTTTTTTTTTTAGTAAAACCCTGTCCATGGCAGGAAATTGAATAATTCTTATCAAATGTACAGGATTTTTTTACACTTCCATGTTCACTGCTTAAAAATAACCTCACCTGATTTATGCAGGTGCTTGGGGAAACTGCCTGAGGACATCATAGAGCAAAGGTTTGATCTCAGAGTTGTGTACTCCCCTGGTATTTCATTAACTGTCAAATACCTTTTGGCTTCAGAGGATGAAAATGAAATTAAAAAAAAAAAAAAATCTCTTTTCCCATGCATAATTATTTAGAAATATTTCTCAAATTTTTGATCACTTGAGAAGGGGAGCTTCTCAAGCTCTTTGCTGACTTTACCCAGAAGTACTTTAATCCAGACCATGGGTTAATGATTTTCCTGCATGCCAGCATCCAAATTTTTGCTTTGTTTCATTAAGGATGTTTTACTTGTGAGCAAATCCCTATGTGGGTTTTGAAGTGCCTGAACCACATGGATACATCTTCCTTTTTTTTGATACTTTCAAAAGAAAGTGTGGAAAAGGGCGGTGAGTAGGAGTCAGATACAACTTCCACACAAGGAGAGCTGAAGTAGCAGTAATTGAAGAAGCAGCTTCTGCATTACAGGGACAGATAGATACAGGTTAATTTTTTTAATTAACTATTTTAATTTTATTTTTTTCCTGACACTGGTTGATTTGTGATAGGCTGGCTGTTCCTAGGATGTTGTTATCTTGGAGTTCTCATGCACACATAAACAGAACAACATAAAGCGGGAACATAAATCCAGACATTTTGGAAGTGGTCTTAACTTACTTGATGCTGGATACACTTTATTCAGTGCAGAATGGTCAGATTGTGGTTTTGATGAGATTAGAAGGCCCCTTCAGGAGCAGGTTTGCTGTTGGTCAGTCTGCGTGGAGCTCTGAACTTGTGTGATGTGACCTGGAAGCATCTGAAACTTCAATTTCACAAGCCTTGGCTTCAAGTAGGTAAGTTATAAGCTACAGATTTCTGAAGATATATCAGTAACATTAAACTGTATCCCATATCAACCCTTTCTCATGTTCAAGCAAAACATCTGCACGTCCTCTCGTGTAACACTTTGGCGTTCCTTCTGTATCGACTCTTCTGCCTTGTTTGTAGGTTATCCAGTCCAAATCCAAAGGACAGGAGGAGTCAACATCATCAAACCGGACTGACAGAGACAACTGAAAACTCAGGGAAAAGGGGAACAGGGCTGCCACCTCAAAGTGGTGTTTGGGGCCACTGAGCTGGGTTGGGTTTCTCTGATCTCAGTTTACCTCGTAGTAAGAACCTTGGCACTGAGAATGAGACTTGGCTAATTTCCCTCCCACTGAGAAGAAAAGAGATCATTGTAAGTATGTGCGAAGCATACCGTTCACTGGAACGAATGCAAAGAGATTAAAGGTCTTCGTGAAAAAATTAAAGGTTCTTTCTAGAGCCCATACTCCTGAACAAGCCCTGCATCACTTGTCTTACAGAGTCCCTCCTGCTCTGAAGGTGTGGCTGGCTGTGGCTTTTTTTTTCCACACTCCCCCCAAAAAAGACAGAACAAAGCTGTTAGGAACAGTATACCAACTTAAAACAACTTGGATCAATAAAATTGTAGATTTGAGATTCTGAATGAGGACTTCCATCATTCCCTGTGCAGGAAGTGGATGCATTTTATGGTCTCCTGTCTTCAAGTTATTGTTGCACTTTGGGAGGGTGAGCTCCAAGACTGAAAGCAGGTAAGTGATCAGGTGGGCTATACATATCAATATTTTTTCCCAATCTGAAAGTATTTCCAGGCATAAAGGTCTTAGAACTATCCTTAAGTAAAAGTAGCTGGGAACTATCCTTAAGTAAAAGTAGCTGTGTATTCAAACATGTACTGGTGCTGGCTTTAGATATAGTTGCATGTACAGTGATGCAGTGACCCAGAGAGACATTTTTTCCATTGAAGATGGTGATAAAATGGAATATAACCTTCAAGGGAGGTAACTACCTACATGTAATCGTAGAATCATAGGAAGGTTTGGGTTGGAAAGGACATTAAATCTCAGCTGGTTCCAACCTCCTGCCATGGGCAGGGACACCTTCCATGAGATGAGGTTGCTGATCTGTGATCCTGAGGGGTGGCTGTTCATAAGATGTTTCTTAGTAGGAAGGTAGATACTTGATGGCTGCAGTAATTCTTAAGGAATGTTAATATTTATAACAAACTGCAGCAAAGGGAAATGCTTTTACGATTAAATGGTGAACATTTAAGAGATAAAGAAAGAATGAAGGTTATGGTACCTCTGAGAAACCTTAGGATTTGAATTCTTCTCTTGCACTTTTTAAGTGAAGTTACTTTTTTTTTTTTTTTTTAGCTTCTCAGACACTTTTTGGTTTTGGAAATTTGTTTGTTTGTTTGTTTTACATAGGTACATTCTGAGGCAAGGAACTTTGTGGGAGATACTGTATTTTATGAAATTAGCAATTATGCCACTCAGTTCCTTCACATTATCTCTTTTTTGAGTGAATCTTTATATTTTCTGTGTGTTCCCAGCAAGACACATGCTGGTACTTAACTGCTCCAGGAAGCAGAAGATGCTGGAGAAAATGCTAAAGAGGAGTTTTCCTGAGTCTGTTATGGTAACACAGCACTGACCTTCATTTCCTGTGGTATTTCCATCAGTGATTTTGGATGTTTGTCAGGGAATCAAAGCTGTAGGGAAAGGGCTGTGCTTCCTCTGGACTGACTGATAGTTGCTGTTTAGATGACTGCATCTGAGATATCATGGAATCAAGGAATAGTTTGGCTTGGAAGGAATCTTAAAGCTCATCCAGTTCCAACCCCCTACCATGGGCAGGGACACCTTCCACTATCCCAGGTTGCTCCAAGCCCCATCCAACCTGGCCTTGAACACTTCCAGGATTGGGGCAGCCACAGCTTCTCTGGGCAACCTGGGCCAGGGCCTCACCACCCTCACAGGGAAGAGTTTCTTCCTAATCTCTAATCTAAACCTACCCTCTTATAGTTTGAAGCCATTCTCCCTTGTCCTGTCGCTCCAGACCCTTGCAAAATGTCCCTCTTCAGCTCTCTTTGAGCCCCTTTAGGTACTGGAAGGTGCTCTAAGTTCTCCCCAGAGCTTTCCCTTCTCCAGGCTGAACAATTCCAACTCTCTCAGCCTGTCATATCCTTTGGTCCTGATTACTAACCCAAGTCCCTGTTCTTAAGAAAAGAAGAACATGGTATTTTTGCCTTACTGGTCAATGTGTAGGTATCAACCCATGTGAGATGTGTGTGCATGAAGCTTTCAGCTGTGTGTCACTGGTTTACAGTCTCTGGTTTACAACACATGGTAGCATGCCTCAAACTGTCTTTTTGCTGTTGGCTTTTCCTGCTGCAGGTTTATGGAGATGTGATCAACAGCAGCAGAGGGAACCCCTTCAGCACAGAATTGGTGGTGGACTCATGACCAGACTTCAAAGCTGTTATCACTCGACCACAAAGGAGGTAGATGGGATGGGGTTTTTACCTTTGTTTCTGAGAGATGGATCCAGCATGGCTGGAGCCTTCCTCCCAGCTTTCTGAGGGTTTTATGGATGGAGCCAGCTGTATCTGGGAAGTGTGTAATGGGGAGGTGGGAACCGTAAAGTGCCATAGGACATCCCAGTGGGTGCCAGCACAAAGCCCGCTATAGGGAGTGCTGCTTTTTCCTGAGACATTCTGCTTGGGAATTATAGCATAAACAAACTTAGTCATGAAGTACACTCTCTGATTGATTGTAATTAGCTTGATTACACTGATTGAGGATTAACTTGTAGAGTTCATGCAGAGTCGCATTTTATCTGCGCTCATGCCACTTGACCAAACTTCCCAAGGGTTCTTTGGTCTTTCCAGCCTTTGTACAGACAGACACACAAAAAAGAACCTTGGTGACCTTATGGTGGGGCAGATGCAGCTACAAGGTGAAAGAAGGGTCCTTCTGCAGTCCTCTAGTCCATAACAGGCTGTGCTGCAGAGGGTTTCAGAGGGGGCATTGCCGTAACTCCCTCTGTCCACTGTGATAAAACAATCTCTGAGCTGCATGAATTTGTGGGTGCTTCCCCAATTCCAGGCTCAGATAATAATCCCTTCTTCTTGTAGGCTCATATAGGGTACAACCTTGTCGAGGTCTCTGGGACAACCAGCAGTGAAGGACAATCCCCAGCTGGCAGTTCGAGTGTTTCCAGCCTGTTCTGGAGAGTAAGAGGGTGTAATAGTATTGATGAGGCCAGGCTGTGCTATTTCAGCCATTGCAGGGGCAGAGAACATATTTTGTTTGCCAGAAGAGGTGTGGTCTGAAGACTTTGACCTTGGCAACCAAATAACACGCCGTGGTTTTTTGGACAGCAGTAGCAGAGGTGAGCTTTGAACAATGAATTAGGTAAGTGTTTCAAAAACCAGGTTTGGGTTACTGTGCATTGGGTATGAGGCCATTGCAGCTTTCTGCTAATTTGATGCTGTAGATGTTCCTACTCTTTTGCTTGAGAGTTACTGGTGAAAATGTCCTGAAAGAAGCTCAAAACATTTTTTAAAGTCTCTGGGAGTTTAGATTCCAACATGTGTGGGAAGGAGCAGAATTTGTAATTATTCCATATTTTTTTTTCCCCAGAATGAGATGGATGATCTTGACCATTACACCAATGCTTATTCAGTTTTCTGCAAGGAGCTGGAAACTTACTGGGAGCTACTGGAAAACCCAAATGCCATCAACTGGGGACAAATTTTTCAGATTCAAGGTACAGTCCAGTTTTACTTGGTTCAGAGTAAACAGAATAGATAGTCTTCATGGACTGTAAACTTTGCCATTCTGCTCTGCAGAAAGGTGTTTTTTTTGTTGTTGTTGTTGTTTTTTTGGGGTTTTTTTTGTGGGTTTTTTTTTTATGTACTTAAGCAAAAATCAAGACCTAGGATATGGAATTTTTTTAGCTTTTTGAATTTCATCTGTGTCATTCACTGCTACCACTTTAAGTTCTGCTTTCACATAGATGAAGTTATTTCCTTGTCAAGAAGGCATGTTTATTGATGTTTAATTTTGCTACTGGCCATAGGATTCTGTAAACAGCATACAGGCTGAGCTGAGCAGTAATTAATGTGTCATTAGAGATTTAGTGTGAGCCAGTGTTTGAAAGCTGAACTCAGACAAGACCTAAAAAAAAAGGATTTTTAAAAGCCCCACACTTTATTTGTGAAGTGCCTTAATATTTATCTTTTTATACACAGGGCTCCAGGATGGCATATGTGAAATATTCAGAACTGTGGCTTTATCCAAGCAGGTAGATGTGAAAACATCCTCTTTCCAGATGGTTATCCATCCAGACCCAGACTTGCTGCCAGATGTCAAAATTCAGTATGTCTGAGCACTCCATGTCACTTACTGAAGTCAGTACTATAGTGATGTATTTCCTAAAAGTACATTTACATCCAAAATACCAGGAAGACTCTTAGGCTTTCTCTGTGACTGGCTCAAAAACCTGACTGAGGAATTACTTGGTAAGGAAGGAACTATTAAATACTTAACAAGATTTTTCTTTAATTAGTCAATCACTCTTGTATTTTTACATTTCAGAATATTCCCCATCCCCTCCTCCTCATGTATACATGGGATCCACAGATCTGCTCTGCATGTCCTTTGACTTTCATGTGTCAAAGTTTCTTAGATTTGATAGGTGGATCTGGGTTTTCTACAAAATTTGTTTTTCACAGAGGGAGCTTTACACAGCTCCTTGAATCTGAGTTTTCTAACATCCCTCTGCTGGTGAAATACTGGTCTGACATCGGAGCAGAAGAGTAGGGGAACCAGAGGCCTCACTTTTCCTATAAAAAATTTCTCTGCAGTGTTTTTGAAATCCAGAAAGAATCTATCAGTCTTGGAGGATGAGAGACTGGACATGAAATCCTTTCCACTCCTTTGTACCATCTCATGTCACTCACTAAGGCTCCTTGCCTGCCTTAACATATTCCCCAGTCTTTCTGTAAGGAATAAGGCACTACTGGAGTGTGTTGAGTGGATTCAGGAGCTTACAGAACATAAATCCCAAAACTGGAGAGGTGCTTCCCTCTACAATCATTCTTAAATCTCCAGCCTAATGAGCTCCACTCACTTTGATTCCCCTTTCTGATACAGACCTGGAAATCTATTTGGCTGCAGAGAACAACTTTAACTGTAGTGCAGTTGCTTGGAGAATGAGGGGCACAGCTTTGTGCCTCACACTCTTTCTGTGCTGTCCCTTAGGGTGGACCCCAAATTGAACTTGGCTCACCTGGATGTCTCCCCTACTGGCCTGCTCAGTAAAACCTGGTCACAGAGAGGCAATCCAAGGTGCCAGAAGTATCTTGCTGACCTCATTTGCTGCATCCCCAATGCCTGTGTCTTGGATGAACATGGGAATCCCCTCTCCTGGAGCCTGACAGACCAGTTTGCCACCATGATTCATGATTACATCCTGCCAGAGCACTGAGGGAAGGGTTCCAGCAGGCTTGTGGCTACTCCTCCAGCTAAGACATTGCACAGGTGTGGCTTTCCAGCTCAGGGTAATGTGCTGGAGGCAAATATCCCATCAATAACATTGCTGAAAAGCATGAGTGCCCAGTTCCTTCCCCGCTCATTTTTCAGAGTGGTTCATACACCTTTTCAGTTTTTAGCCAAATCTCACCTGTAGCCAAACCTCACAAACCTGCATTCAGATCAGCTTTTTTGCACTGCAGGAGAACACTGGTGGAATTTAATAACTTAGGTGAGATCAGAAATCACAGGAGAGTTTCCTGTGTAATCCTAGAATCAAAGGTAGTAAACGCTCATGACTTCTGTGCTCAGGGAAATCTGTACTCATGGCAATTCCAAATGACTGGGCAATGGCTCTAAGTGTAGACGTTTTGCTGTAATTCAGTTGAAATTATGCTGCTTCTGACCAAAGAATTATTTCTTCTGTATAACCATTTTCTAGCAGAATCCTTGGACATCTCTAACCCCATTTATGTGTCTTCGAATAAGTCCTCAAGCCTCTCCTTTTCCTAATGTGGCCTAAAGAGATTACTTTGTGAAATTAAGCAGAGAAATGTGCAAGGAGCTGTCTGAACTAAAAAAAAAAGCTTTATAAAGAAGTCTCTTAATGTCTAATACAGCAACAAGTCTGTTTATGCTTATTTAAGTCTCCTTTATGCTCAAGACAAATCTTATAGGAAATAGGAAAACTGAATTTATCAATATCACTGTGTTTTTCAAATCCAGGTAATTGGATTTGTTAATTCTGCTATTGCCTTCAATAGGGCCAGATGTCTACCTGTAGATTCTTATTCAGCCTAATTAGACCATTTTTACAGAAGCTGTGGAGATCCTGCATTTAATGAGAATAATTTCTAGGTAACTAAATCCAGTGGCTGATGGGTTTGGAGACAGAAACTAACCATCTGATAAACAGAGACACCTCAGTGAAGAGCCTGAGGTGATCATGCTACACAGGGCCCTGCCATGTGAAAGGCAGCATTTCAGGCTGCCTCAGCAAATAGAGGTTCTGGAGGAAAGAGCAGGGTCAGCTCAGATAAGGCTGTCAACTTTTTAATTTTTTGGAGTCTGCTGACTCAGTACTGGAGCAGGCTGTGGCCCCAGCAGAGACATTTTGCTGTCCTTGCAATGGATTCTCACAGAGTCATCCATGATCTTGTGCCTCTCCATAACTGCTTATTTGCATGCTTTGTATATTAATCCCAAACAATAAGAATTATTTTCAAAATTACTTTTTAGATAAATCAGAAATTCTGTGATGATGTGATTAAAGGGGCATCTACGGTAAAGAGAATGAGTTATGTAATACTTGAAGTTTTCCTCCTTTTAGGTGGAGTTTTGTTTCATACCTATCATTCTACACCTGGGTTGAGGTTTAGACAAAGCACCACCAGAAATACTCATTGACTGTATGGTGGGACAGTAGGAAGGACAATAAGGTTTACACAGTAATGTCAGTAATGTCTGGGAGGGTCACTTCTGTTATGGGCAGGTTTCTACTGATGTGTAAAGGCTTTGGTCTATTCCAGAAACTTTCCATTTTTCGCAGTCAACAGAAGAGTCAGGAAAAAGGTGACCTTGCCATGGTGGGTGAGGGAAGGGTCCCCTACATACCCCATAGTGATCACTCAGTAAACATTGATGTTCATGCCCCCAGCACTTGGGCAATGAGCCCTGATGTGTCTGGGTGGCACCTGAGGATGCTGGACCTGAACCAAGAGCACCACCCACCTCCCACACTGCCCTCAGGGGCAGAGCAGTTGCACAGGCTTGAAGCAGAATCAGCCTGAGGCTACTTTGGCTTTCAGTCAATTTTAACTTCTTTTTCCAGTTGCCAGGAGGTGGGAGCCCTCTGTCAGCTGGAATTTGCTCACAGTGTTTATGCAATGTTTAACAGCCCCTCAGATGGCTCATTACAAAAGGACCAGCCATTTTCCACAGGTGTACACTTTATTTTACTGAGCTTATCCATTTACAGGAGATTCAGGAAAAAATCTTCAAGACCCTCTGGACTCAGGTAAACTTGGCTTAAGGTTGTTCCTGGGAAGTGATCTGCTTTAACAAGTTCAGAACTCTGATTTATTTGCACGTGGTAGTGGAAGGAGTAGGGAGCAGAGCCAAAGGAGGAAGCTGCAGTGAGGCGTTGGGGAACAGGATACCCAACCCAGCTTCAAACCCATCTGACTGAACAAGCCCTTCTGTTCCAAAGACCTGAAGCTCTGAACATCCCACATTTGTCACAGAGGCTCTGCAGTGCTTACCTTTAACTACAGTAGTACCAGCCAGGTACAGCTTCATGGTCCATATGTCTCTTTGGAGAAACCTGCACTTGGGAGTGTTTTTTGCTTTCAACAAACACTCATTAGCAAGTGAAAACTGAAATAAGAATAAGAAAGCTGAGGGTCTGTATTAGCCCAGATTAGGTGATCTAACAGGTTAATCCATCAGCCATACACTAGTTTGTATTTCTTGTGCATTTCTGCCCTTCCCCAATAAATAAACACTTTGGTTTAGAAGTACTGAAAACCTTCATTAAGTTGTGAATTTTTTGGGGGGAAAAGGACTAAGAAGGCAGATGTCACAGAAAAGTAATTTGAACATTTTTGAAACAAATAAATGCTGCTTAGAGCTCTAGGAACGTGCCACAGCACACATTTTATAGGGTTTGGGGATGACATTAAATGAAATAGCAGGGCTGAGGTCCAGGTCTGAGCTGGAAACTCCAGGTGGAGGCTGGAAGTTGAACCTCTGCAGGAGGCTGGTGAAGAAGAGGAAGAGTTCCATTTTGGCCAGAGTCTCCCCAGCACAGATCCTCCGCCCTGGAACAAAATAAGAGAGCCAGTGGGAGCTGCTTCTTCAATAGTTGGAAGAAAAGAAAAACCTTAAGCATCTCTTATTTGGAGAAAGGTCAGTGGGGGTCCAGAACCCCTGAAGTGTCCTATCCCAGCTATGAATGAGGAGCTCAGCAGCTTTTAAAAGTCAGTTGAGTACAGAGGTCATCAGAGAGAGGGGAAACTTGGTCTTCAGAGATGTGATAAAAAAGCCAACTGGTGGTGTTTTTTGTAGTTTTCCTTTATCTAAATACTTCCATTTAGGGGGAAATGTATGGAAATGCAATCTGAATTCCTTAATTCTAATTTACAATAAAATCAGAATTTTCATTTTCAGATTTTTTTTTTGTCTAGTTGGCTCAGTTTTTGAATCCTGGACCAACTGGTTGAGTCTAGACTTTGGCTCTATCAGTCTAGATATAGGCAACTTTTTTTATATTAAAATTTGTCAGAAAATTCCTTGGAAACTCACAAATGCTGGCCAGAGTGGGACTAAGGGAAAGTGGGGGACATATTCTATGAATATTCAGAAGTGCCGTAAATGTAAATTTTTCTCAGTCCTGTTAAACTGCAGCAGCTTTTAAACTGCTTTTTAAACTCAAGTGTACATCATGCTCTGGGGAAGCCTCAAAAACCCCTCAAAATGCAACCCCTTTCTGTTCTTTGATTTTACACAGAATTTGTGGTTTTTTATGACAATTCCTCCTTGTTGTCACAGTGTATGAAATCTTGACCCAGCTGACATTATTCATGACCTTTTTAAGAGGGACATGGAAAAATGAAACAGGAAAGACACAGAAGCCAGCTTTGTTGTGGTCATAGACAGTGCAACTGGGTGTGGTCAGGCTCAAGCCCAGGACACAGGGAAGTTGTGGGCTACAGATTATAATGTATAAATATGTTACCTAAACCATCCTGGAATTTGCTGAAAACTTTCCTCATATTTAAAAAAGCACCACAAATACTCATTTATAGTTGTTCAGAATTAGCAGCCATTTGGGAGGTGCCCCCTGAGAAATCTGTGAAACATGGGGTGTGAAATGGCCCCACTGAAAAGATCGTGTGGAGACCGGGCTTCAGTAGCAAAAAGTACAAATAGCCCTTGTAAAAAGTAGTTACTTGCAATGACAGTAAATGGAAAAGAGAAAGCACCTGCTGAAAAAGGCATGAAAGCATCTTTCTTCACAAATTTCCCATTGGCATCGAGAAAGTGCTCGGGGTAGAACATGTCTGGTTTCTCCCACTGCGACTTGTCATACAGGACTGAGGTCAGCAAGGGGATGATGTAGGTTCCCTGCAAAATGGGACAGTGGAATTAATCCCTGGACAAAATCAGGAAGAAGAAATGTTAAAAAGCAACCCTGTAGGCATCTCACCTTGGGAATGAAATAGCCTTTGAGGGTGACATCTGCGGCAGTCTCATGAGGCAGATCCAATGGCAGGATACTGGCGAACCTCTGGATTTCATGGATGACAGCATCTGTATATGGCATCTGAGTTCGGTGCTCAATCCGTGGGGGGTTTGACCCTATCACTTGATCTATCTCTTCTTGGACCTTTTCTGGGGAAAGAATGAAGTATGAGAAGGAAACAAGTGTCTAATTCATCCCTGAGACATCCTGTGCTTTATTGATGTAAAGTATAAAAAGAAATTAGAATCATGAATTCTCAAAAAATCTTTTTTTTTTTTTTTTTCCTTTTGGAAATAATGGTAGGTAAACAGAATTAGAGTATTTGATTGTTTCTTTACCAACAAGAAACCTAAAGACTTTTTTTGTGCCCTCTCTTCTGTCTAAATTTCTTACTTTGCCCAAGAGATGTCTCAAAAACCCATTTTGACTCTGAACAGCCCTGTACCATCTACTGGAATGGAGATGTCAGACAAAAGGCAATTCCCTGCATCTTCTCAGGTATCTGATGCCTCAGTACAGTTCATTTAACATCTGCACAGGCCTTTGGTTTATCAACAACCCATTTCTGAGGGAAACCTGGAACAATTTCGTTGTCCTACACAGGCCAGCTCTTTTCTTATTAATTAATGAAATTTTCCTGAGTGAAGGGCCTGGTCTGGATGAACTCCATTTATAATCTGTGGTAGTTTGGCCAGTGTGCCCCTCACTGGTCTGGATCACAGGGCACAGCATTACCTAGATTATAATTAACTGGAAATCTAGGCTTGTTGTAACTGTGTATTAACAGATATGTTGACCCTCCTTCACATTTAGTTTCTAATGCCCTGAGTGTAACAATATCAGTCATAAAACCACTTACTCTGAATTTCAGGGTACTTCAGCATCAGCAGAAAGCCCCAGTTTAGTGTGGTGGAAATTGTCTCAACACCAGCAGTAAACAAATTGCTCACCAAGGTTAGCAAGTTACCATTATGGAAGTACCCATTGGTAGTGGATTTCTCCTGAAAAAAGTGGTTGAAATAAAAGGATGAAAACTTTAGGCTTTCCATGTGAGAATGCAATTTATGCAGAAAAACATTTGCTAAGAAGTAAATACTGTATTTTAATATAAGTGTAAAATTTTTAAAATAAGGCAAAGAAGAGCTTTGGTCTTTTACCTGTAGAATAATGCTGACCTAGGTTTTAAATTCTGTATGATCTCTGTATTTACTGGGACCATCTGCAAAGTGAGCTGCTTTCTCTATGGAGAAGGTAACCCAGATATATCAGAGACCCCAAATAAGAGTCCCAGTAAAGCCCAGGTTGTGATTTTATTCTGCAATGCATTATGTTCTTAAAAGAGCCAGAAAGTCTGGGACAACAGAGAAAGTAGATTAAAAAAAGATGCTACCTCTGTAAACATATTGATACAGTCTGAAGAAAATAAGAATAAATATTTGCTTCTGAAAAAGGGGTTGGAACTGCAACAGAGTGAAGTACCTGCTCAACTCTACCACTTTGTTATATGTGTTTTGTCGTAAGACAGATTCCCTAAAGAAATTTAGCTGTAATTATATGGACTGGAAGGAAGTTGTGTCGTCATAGAACCATAGAAGTTGGAACGAACAAGAAAAATTTCAGTTACCTCCTGCTGTTTAACCAGGAAAGCATCGATAAGGCTTCTTTGGTCATTTTTGTCCAGGTTTTTGAGATATTCTATAAAAGTAACTGTTATATAATCATGGAATTCACGTGTGTTTTGGAGAATAGTCTTGTTAGCCCTTAGCAGGAATCCAAGGTATGGGAAGATGTTGTACATCTACAAGAGTGGAAATTGTTAGAATTTACCAGACAGAGGTCTGAAAACACTACAGAAACAAATTAGTGATGTTGTGCCCATTTTGCAGATAGAAAGACAAAAACTTAACATTAATATTTTGTTCTTTAGAATATGAAAAAATAATTCAAGGTAGAAAATCCATCAGGGACCACCGAATAGAAAGAAAATTCTCAGCTCCAAATTATTATTTTGCAGGAGTAGTGTCGATGTCAGACTCAAACAGCTGCAAGTTGCCACCATGGAGATGGAAAAGTTGTCCAGCAACTTTTTAAGCAGCTTTACCACTAACCCTTTTTTTCTTTCTCACAGCCTAAAGGAACAGAAATGAATCTGGTGTGAGGCAGTATCAGAGAGTATTTATTACTCCTTAGTACTCTTCAAACTATAGTTTAAGTTTGTTTTTGAGAGACTAGGAGTTTGATTGCTGGCTTCAAGATTCCCAGACTGTCTCCCAAGCTTTGTTTTGCCCAAGAAATTGCTCTGTAGGCCAAGTCTCAGATTTTCCTATTTAACAGAAAACACTCACTACCAGTATTGCTACTTTCCCATGGCATCCAGTGGAAAAGCAGCATTAATAAGTTTAACTTTACCGTGACCAAAGGTTCCCCAGCAAGCCTCATGTTTTCATTGGTCAAATTTAGAAGTCTCACAAATCTGGAGTCTTTGTAGTCAAATCTTTTTCCAAGTAATATTGACACAATTATGTTGGCAACTGCTGCATTAATTATTTTACTGATGTCGAAGGGCTTTCCTATACAATGAACAAAAGAACATATTACATTGTGGCAAGAGATGTAATTTGTAAATGTAAATTTAATACTAATTCTTGCTGTTTATTTGCTATGATTGATTGCCATTATTGATCATTACTCAGTATAATGAGTGCCTGTCCTGCATTTTGGCCAGAACAACCCCCTGCTGGGGACAGAGTGGCTGGAGAGCAGCCAGGCAGAAAGGGACCTTGGAGTTTGGATTGACAGGAAGCTGAACATGAGCCAGCAGTGTGCCCAGGTGGCCAAGAAGGCCAATGGCATCCTGGCCTGCATCAGGAACAGTGTGGCCAGCAGGAGCAGGGCAGTGATCCTTCCCCTGTACTCAGCACTGGTGAGGCCGCACCTTGAGAATTGTGTCCAGTTCTGGGCCCCTCAGTTCAGGAAGGATATTGAGGTGCTGGAGCGGGTCCAGAGAAGAGCAACCAGGCTGGTGAAGGGACTTGAGCACAAGTCCTGTGAGGAGAGGCTGAGGGAGCTGGGGTTGTTTAGTCTGGAGAAGAGGAAGCTCAGGGGAGACCTCATCACCCTCTACAACTCCCTGAGAGGAGGTTGTAGCCAGGTGGGGGTCGGTCTCTTCTCCCAGGCAACTACCAGTAAGACAAGAGGGCATGGTCTTAAGCTCTGCCAGGGGAGGTTTAGATTGGATATTAGGAATAAATTCTTTACAGAAAGGGTAATCAGGCATTGGAATGGGCTGTCCAGGGAAGTGGTGAATTCTCTGTCCCTGGAGGTATTTAAGAAGAGACTGGATGTGGCATCAGTGCCATGGTCTGGTAACCACAGTGGTAGTGGATCAAGGGTTGGACTTGATGATCTCAGAGGTCCTTTCCAACCTGGCTGATTCTATGATTCTATGATCCTGTGTCAGAATACCAAGCCATGACACAAAAATATCAGAGGAGCCAAATTCATCCAATTGATTCAGCCTGTAGTACATTTCTTAAAAAAGTCTGAACTTGAGAAGGTTCAGAAGGCTTCTGGGTGCTTGAGCAAAACCTTAGATGTGGCACTGGAAGAGATTTCCTAGAGAAGCTGTGGCTGCCCCACCCCTGGAAGTGTTCAAGGCCAGGTTGGATGGGGCTTGGAGCAGCCTGGTCTAGTGGGAGGTGGCAGGGAGGTAAATGAGATGATCCTTAAGGTCCCTTTCAACCCAAACCATTCTGTGATTCTACAAGTCTGAAGAATGAATCACCCACCCACCTTGTTGTGAGGCGATGGTGTCTCCCAGGTACCCATATTCCTCCACAATTTTATCCTCAATGGCCCTTTTCCCCATTCCAAAGTCTCGTAAGGTCGTGAGAGTAAACCTTCGCATCACCTTCCAGTTTTCACCATGAGCAAAAACAACCCCTGAGACACAGAGAACATTTCAAGGTGGCACAAGATTAGAAATAACTGATTTTTCTAGACACAGAATGGAGCTGTTTAGTAGTAGTCACTTTAAAAAACTAAATTAATTCTGGCTGAGTCAAAACACAACTTCGCCTTAAGCATTGTCAGTCCTCAACAATCTGTTTGTTGCACAAGAAAAAGGATAATTATTTAAGATGTATCTAATCAAATTTTAAGAAGAGTATATATACTAAGAGACACTTGTCACTGAAAGAGAGATGGCATTGGAAATTCAAGTGCAAACCACTGATCCTCATAGTTTGGAAGCAGAATTGGACTGAGATCTAATGTGTCTGATGATTTCTGGACAAAACTGACTAGGCACAAATGTCTTTAAAATTCAGGTAGTACCTTAAAACCTCCATAATCAGGTTTTTCTTTCCACTAAAATTTTCCCACAGTATAACTAATGACTTCAGCTATATTTTTTTTCCAAAGAAAAATAAAATGAAAAGAAAGCTTACATGCATAATATGTTAAAAAAATGCAGCTGTTAAAATGTGCACAGTATTATTCCTGACTTTGCCCAAGGGTGTAATCTTTGGAGATGTAAATATGAAACTCTCGTGCTAAATTAGAATGAAGCTTGGGTATGAAATTCCCACTTTGAAACCCAGCTCAGTATGCAGTATGTCCCCTTTTAAAATAGATCCCCAATTCTCTTTGTGTTCCATTCTATTACTGTATTCAGAAAAACCACAAGTCCAGGGCCATGCCATGAGACCTAGAAATGTTTCCATGGCCTGGATACCCTGTTCTAGATCCTGAAAGTGTCACACTATCCATTAGCTGTTGCTGTGGTTATTTTTAGAATTATGGCTGGTTTGTTGTCACTCTCAGTAGTTTCAGCTTTGAATAAATCCACTGAAGTCAATGAGATTGCTCCCTATTTCCAGTGCCTCAAGTGATCTCTGATCCAAAGTGATATCCCAGCTCCTGCTTTGTCTACAGGATGGAAAAAAAAATGAACAAGTCAAGTTGACAAAGAAAAAAATAAAAGCAACTTACCATTTCCTTTAGTCAAATCTTCAAAGATTGGGATTTTAGGTCTCTCTGCAAATGCATCTGCCTGGTTTACAAGAGCTTCCTTCACTGTCTCATACCCAGAAATCACAACTATTTTCCTGGACCCCATCTGAACACTGAAGACTGGGCCATATTCCTTTGACAGCTGTCAGGAGAAGAGAACAGGAATTTAGAGACTTTACACTGTGGATAGAACATGTCAGGGGCAGTAGGGGAAACTCTCTGATATCTTGGACTGTGAGGCTCGGTGATATGTGCAGTTATGGGACCGATAGAAAAGAAAATTATTACCTCTAGATAAGTCCTGTAGGGTCTCTTCAAATCAAACAAATGAAGGTTTCCAATTATAGGTAATGGTCTTGGTCCTGGAGGAAAATTCTTTCTCTGGTTGTTGTCCCAGAAACGTGCTATTTTCAAAATGCACAGAAAAGCCAGGATGAACACTAAACCAATGGAAGTGCTGCTGCTCCAGTCCATCTCCGTTCAACAAAGTGTTTGCCACAGAAGAGAAAAGAGAAAATGTGGACTCTGGATCTCTGTCCTCCTGCAAAAATTTCCCTTTGGAGGCTCCTATGTTAGTCCACAAACCTCTTCCCCAGATGCTCTTCTTGCAATTTGTGACTGGTTTTGTTCTCTGCCTCTGTGTTATACCTGAGTAGGGTACAGAGGCAGGTAAATGTTTGCTAACCAAGTGTGTGACTGGGTGTGAGTGCAGTCCAAGTATGAAAGTCCAAGAAAATGGAGAACTGGAGGTCATTGACCTGGTTTTTGGCATAAAAGTCATGAACTCTGTACACTGTCTAAGTTACTGATTAATTATGTTTTTGTCATTAGTACAGTATGGCTTTGATACCCTCAGAACTGAAATCGAAATGCCGCTACCCAAGGGAGTAGTGCACAGATTTATTTTTTTAAAATACTTAGGAATTGGCATAACTTTGCTTCCATTGAATTCACTGGGAATTTCAAGTCAGAATCATAGAATGATTGAGGTTGGAGGGGACTTTGGAGTTTATCTGATCCAAGCCCATTCCTCAAGCAGGGCCATCAAGAGCCAGTTGTCCTAGACTATGTCCAGACAGGTTTTGAATATCTCCAAGGTCCTAAACAATTCTATGATTCTAAGGAGAGAGACTCCACAACCTCCTGGGCAACCTGGAGTGCTTGGCCATTCTCACAGCAAAGAAGTATTTCCTGATGTTCAGAGGAACCTCCTGTGTTTCAGTGTGTGCCCATGGCCTCTGGTCCTGTCACTGGGCATACCCTGAGAAGAGTCTGGCTCTGACTTATTTGATCCTTCCTCCAGGTGCTTATACAGACCGGTAAGATCCTCCCGAGTCTTCTCTCCTCTGGTCTAAGCGGTCCCACCTCTCTCTGCTTCCTCAAATAAGAGATGCTGCAGTTCCTTCAGCATCTTTGTGACCCTTTTCTGGACTCCCTCTAGTCTGTCCATGTCTCTTTTGTGCTTGACACATTGAGAAGAGATGTCCTCTGCTGGCTGAGGAAAGAGGGCTAAGGTACAGTCTGACTCACGTCTTAGACTCTGAGTGAGCAGCAGAGAAAGAGATGTTTAAAGAAGCAGCCATGGAGAAAAAAACATCCAGGGCTTTCACTGTTCTGCCAGAGAAGCTGAGCCACAGCTCAGTGGGTGAAAGTGTTTGAAAGATTTTCTAGTAGAAGCCTAAAGCCCTAAATTGTACCTGGCCTTGAGGCAAGAAGGTAAAGGCTGTGTGAGGGGAGCAAAGCATCAGGATCCCTGCAGAGACATGAACAGAGGCAGGGGAGAGGAGTCAGCCCCCAGGGATGGGGGTGCAGAGACCTAGAGGAAAAGTGCCCTGGCATGTGGCTGGGAGCCTGGAAAAGGAACTCCAACAATCTTGCTCTTGTACTGCCTTACCCTGGGTCTGCTGCTGTCCCAGGGTCTCTGAAGGACAGAGCAGGACATTTCACCTACCTGGAACGTGTCCTGGAAAAAGTCCAAGGCCTGTATCCAGCTGAATGCCAGTTGGTCTGATTCCACTCCACCTTCCCAGACAGGGTAAAAAGTCACAGAGAATGTCAGTCTTTCCACATGTATCTGGAATTTAATTATTAACAAGGAGCTGAGGGGTGACTGAAAGGTGAACTTCTGCAGGGAGGTTTGGGAAGAAGAGGAAGAGCTCTCTTTTGGCAAGACCCTCACCATGCATACTTTGTTAGCAGGTGGATCCCACTGAGAGAGAAAGAAGACTATATATCCCCAAGAAATGTTGAACAAATACAGTTGACCATCTGATAATTTAATTCCTGCATTTAATCAGCAACGGATTTGAATACAAATATGAAAAGAAATTTTATAAAAAAATATTCAGCCAATGGCTTTAAAATAAATTTGCCTTTTTAGTAATGAAATACAAAGATACTGCTCTGACAGAGGTAGAACTGAAGAGCTGTAAACAGTCTTCAAATTGTGATCATCCGCTGGTGTTTTGACAATAAGCTTGACCTTTGGTTAGTTTAAATAAGAAATAATTGAAGTTTTATTCACTTAGAAAAACCCCAACCTTATTTAAGCTTTTTTAATGTAAAAACTAACATGTCAAGGTGAGAACAAAGGTAAAACAGAATGTTGAATGAATATTGAAAGGGATGAAAAGTTGTCAGTCTTTTATGAGAAAGAAAAGAAACACTGATAATCATGAGCCTTGAATTTAGAGTAGTTTGCTTTATTTTTCAATCCCATCCTCTAAATTTGTCCTCCACCCTGTCTCTTGTTTTCCTCCTTACTTTCCTTTCCTAACAGTGTAAGGGTCCCTCATGGAAGAGCAAAAGGGTTCTTGGTAAAATATTTTAAGCTTCTCTCTTTGAAGTGTTCAATAACATATTACACAGAAGTTGTAACTCATTATTAAAGAAGCTCTACTGACTCAGGGTATTTAAAGTTTTGATTAACTGGGAAATAACCAACCAAAGAAAATAAGACAGAGAACCAAATGCCACTGGCAGCTGAAGTATGGAGGTGAGCAATTGGGGTAATGAAAGAGCAAATCATACAATTCAAGGGCACAGTGACATGGAAAACAAAGTAACATTTGAAGCTCTGATTAAACAAAACGATCCATCTCGCTCCTCTGTTTTTTTGAGAGAACCTGAAGGACTGATTTCTCTGGGGCAGGAATCTTCTGAGAAAAAAAGGCAGAGGACAATGAGTTCTTAGAAGATGAGGGTCTGGATTACTATGGAAAGATTATAAGGAGAACTGGAGAACAAAACTGCATAGTTCATTTTTCCCTTTTTTAAAAAAACCCTAAAGATAACTGTTGAGGGCATCATTCACCACAGAAGGCTCAGCTTGAATATCAGGAAAGAATTCTTCGCTGAAAGAGGGGTTAAACACTGGAACAGGCTCCCCAGGGCAGTGGTGGACTCACCATCCCTGGAAGGGTTCTAAAAACAAGTAGACACAGCACTTCAAAATATGGTTTAGTGGGAATGGTGATATTCCATTCCATTCCAGGTTGAACTTGATGAGGTCTTTTCCAACCTTAATGATTCTATAATTCTCAAAGATTTGCTGACAGTGAGTGATACTTCCTCACTCGGGCATTCCCATGTGGTCAACACTGAGAATCAGTGAAACTACCTCATCTCTGTAAGGTGAATGAAAGACCCTCTGAATCCACAAACAGGATTTTGAAGGGTGACATTCCTGTATTAAAGATAAGATTTTTAAAGGCTGTCCCCATATGCAATATTTTTCAAGTACTTCAATACTTTGCAAATTATGCAAAACCACTTCTAAAATCTTTACCTGTGCAATATTTACATTGTTAAATACTTTCTCCATATTTACAAAAATGACTGTGTGAAAGCTTTGAAAGGATAAAGGGTATTTTATAGCCAACAAGGTAGAACAGAGTCAGTTGCTGCACATCTGCAAAAGAGCATATCTGAACTAAATTGTGTTACAACAAATGTGTTTTCATCATAGGCAGAAATGTGGCGTATATAGCAGTATACAGCTGATATAACATCAGACAGCCCTGACTAGTATCTTTCTAAAGTTCTTCAAGGAAAAATACATCAGCAGAACTGAAAATATGTGTCTATTTTATATGAGAGGAGATTTTCTCTTAAGTTTGATGAGTCAGACTTGAAATAAGATGCTAATATAAACAAAGTCTTTAAAGTTCACCCACTTTAGCTTGTTCTTCTGAGACATCAGTGGTAGCTTTCCATGTCCAAATAATGCACTGAAGTATTCCTTCAGTTAGGTTTCCCATCCATTGCTTCTCCATGGATTATTCCATGCACATGGGCACAGATGTGTGATGTGAGTTTGCTCCCAGCCACTCTCATCTTGTAGAGTTCCTTCAGCTGCCTCAATTTTTCTCTCTCTTAACAGAGCAGCCACTGTCATCGCTTTTCAGGTGGAGTTAATTTACATTAATTTAGCTTCAGTTTTCTTCTTTTTGCTTTCTCTTGTTTTGGGAGACAGTGACTTCAAAGTCAGTGACTCACCACATGGAAGCTCTCTGCTGAGTCTTCTGTAGGTTGGATGTGGTTTCTTTCCAAACAGTTCCTAACAACTCATGTTTTTTTGGAGCTAGGATTAGTTCAGTTCATATTTATTAAATTACCACTGCTACAATTCACTTATTACTGCTGAATGTAATAAGACATATTATGCAACTACCTCATTTTCATAGCTCCTACTCAACTCCCTTATTGTGTCCCTCACTGAAGCAGTCTAAATAAATCTATGACTGTAATTAAATTTTTCACAATTTCACTTTTTTCTCCCTTTCAACAAACATATTAACAATGAATCTTGATACTCATATTGCCACTTAGAATAGCTCATCCATCGCTGTGCTTTGCCATGAGAATGACTTCAACTTTTTTTTTCCTGTCATAAACAACTTTCAAAATACAGCCCAATCTCCCCTCCTAATCCAAAAAAAAGACAACACACTTTCTTAAAAAGTTAATATGGGATGCTCTGGTGAAAAGCTTGTTAGAATCTGAACAAAAATTATCAATTAATTTCTTCTTGATTACCTCTACACAGCTGTAGATGTAGTGTGATTGTAACTCAGAAATCTTGCAGTTAAATATATTATCCTGGAGTAATCTTGAAACCCAAAATTTGTTACAATAGCTATATTGACTCAGTGGCAACCGAAGATAAAATATAGGTAATTTTAATGATGAACAAGTATATTAGAAAGACCTAATTAATTCACCTAGGCTTGGTAATGACTATGTACTCTAAAATCAAACTTATTTTGTATTACAAAAATATAACTATCTACAGCTACTTCTTAAAACCCTCTGGTGGTAAGGGAAATACTTGGGTGTTGTTTCTTAGCATTAGAAATGGAAAAGAGCTTCATTAGCACAAATATTACAGACTAATTATTTTTCTACATTGCAGCTTCAAATCTGCTGTTCTCATCACGGTTGCTGGAGTGAATTTCATGTCCTTTCTCCTCTTCTGGAACCTGCCATGAAAAACAGAAGAGTTCAGTTAATGAGACATACACTCACTTTTGCCATGAAAGAAGACTAAAATGTGCTGAGAATGTAATTCTATTTGTCTGTGTTATGTGTCTGCTTCTCAACATTGGCATAGCCTGAAATGAACCACCAGTTCTGGATTCTGACTGGTGAATTTAGAGTTT